GTTTGAAGCGGAAATGGTTGAAAGTTGGCACTCCCCGGTCGGAATGCACTAGCACGATGAGCCAATAACCTTCCTTTCGCGAAACCTTCCCTTATTCCCTGTCCTTTTTTTCCAGAAAAATAATATTCGATTCATGCCACCACATAGCTTAAGTTGGCCGATGTGACGACAGCAAACAGAAGAACCACACCACGCGGAGTCCTGCAAAGCGGAGAGCCAATATTGATGTATCTACTCGCCCAAAAAGGACCTCGCACAGCTCCTAGCAATTCTCGCGTAATCCCGCGAGAGCCAAAGGTGCGCGAAGATAAAGCCACAGGGAGGGTCTTTTTTTTTTTTTTCATATAATATACTCCCATTTTATTGCCGCCGTATCGCCTCGTATCAGGGTTTTGTTGTTTATTTTATTGTGTGTGTCGGTGTGTTTCTTTATTCTCGCGTGCCGAGGAAATCGTTCCTCGGAGTGCCGTTCGGCGGTAAACCCGCCCACAAAAGTTTGGGATCGGAACAGCGGGATAGAGTTACCGATCGAAGTTACAGCCAGCCCCCCCCCCCCCCCCCCCCCCCCCCCCCTCACCGCGGCGTGGGAATGTCGACGTTTTTATTAGATTGAACATCTTTCCCGCCCCTTCTCTTCTATATAGGTGAGCCTAGTAAGTGCGTCGCGACAGGATAGATACCGAACTAACGTTTTGTTACCTCACTTTTTGAGAAGATTCCTGCGTGGCCATTTCAACGGACGCTAACAAAGAACAGTAGCAGACGAACATATCTCATCATTAGATGGGCATTAAATTTAGGTGAGATCACACTAGGCCAACACGTTCCGTAAACACTACGAGAACATCTTGTTGTTGCCCTCAATGAAACTTCCTGTCGTCGGCCTGCCAGCCGACGACAAGTGGACGCTGTTGGAAAACAAGTGCCGTGTCTCCAGCTTACGTTATGTCAGTGAATAAAGTCGGTCGGCTGTTGGCAGGATATATTTTAATCAAAAGGGGGGAGGCTTGCTTGGGACAGTCTTAGTTAAGACTGGGTGAAAGAAAGGACTGCGAAAGTTAGAGCACGAGCAGGCTTTTTTTCACAATCTCAGCAATGACGCTATTTCTAGAAAGCCGGCTCTGGTGCACGGGTGAGGAATACTGTCACCCTCAACCAGCGTCAGGTTTATACGATGTGTCCTTCTGCGCCTGGGAACGACATCTGTTCGTCATCCAAGTTGCAGTTGTACTATTTTGACTACTTTGTAGGGCTGAACGACTGAAGACCTTTCCTGTCCTTTCATTCATAGTCCATCACCCTCATTTCGGCTCTCCCGCGAACGGGCCTGGCACACATACCCGCCAAAGTCTGCCATCTGCAAGACGGCAGCAAACTACCCCTCCCCCCCCCCCCCAAAAAAAAAAAAAAATACAGAGCCGCCAGCTAAAATAAAAGCGACAGCTGCGATTTTCACACGATGCCTAGAAAAAATAATAAAAAAAAAGTAAAGATAAACGAAGGAACAATAAACAGTCAAGCTCACGATCCTCCCACCCCCGCCAGGAGGAGAACATATGAGAGAAAGGCGGCCTGGAACCAATCAAAGTTTGCCGCAAAGCCATGCCCCTACTTTTTCGGACTATTTCGAGCATCCACACTTGGCCCGACAGACAGAGTATATATATATATATATATATGTCGTTCTCAAGTCTTTTGTTCAGCGGGCGGTATATCTAAACAAACGTTCACTTCCCCCAAAACCGAGCATCGGCTCGTGTCCAATTAAACTGCAAGAGGACGTCGCTGGCAGTTCATTGTTCAGAAGCAACGTCCCTGACGCTGCATTTCCTCGATCTGGGTCAACCATAGTCGACCACTTTATCCCTTTTGCCTAAAAAAATAAATAAGAAAACACGCGGTTTTTACAACACACGCGGACAGACACCGTGACGGCCCCTTGCGACTGTTGAACTTGATGACGAAAAAAAAGTCTTGCTGGGGACAGTCGTGCGCGTTTCCTCTTAGAAGAGGTCACGCGCCTGCCCCGTGTCGTTCCGTTACGGGACTTCTTCTGTGTGCGTGGAACGATCGCAGTTTTGTCTCCTGAAATGAGTCCGTTAGAAGACAAAAAAAAAAAAAAGTGGCCCCCAGATGCCTTTCTAGTTGACACGAATTAAGAAAATAAACCAAGTTTTGCGGGTTCGTGCGCGAAACTGGCATGGTTCAGTCAGCCAAGCGGCCGTGCCCAAGCGAAGCACTGAGGGTTAATTTATAGACCGAATCTTCTTTTACGTGCTACCGCGGAATCTGTCACCCGCGGTGTCACGTGGGCTCCGTATCTGGTATGCGGGACGAAAAAATAATAAAACATCTCAACCTGGAATATGCGAGAAAATATAGGTGAGGCAAAGCAAGAATGTGTGACAATTCGTATACAGCTTCCAGCGGCGTGGAGAGATCGAAAGGATGTTTTACCGCATACCAGAAGTGACGACATTCAAGATGGCTGCGCCCTTGTGGAAACGGTATATAGCTTTGTCGCAATAAAAGGAGAATGTGACACAGCACGAACAAGCGATCGCTGGTTTTTCAAACTATTCTATTACAAATGAAATGTTCGGGTGGAATCTGTGAACTTTGATGGCAAAATGTGGTATTTGACAGTAGCCTCCCCGAGTAAAATGTGAAGTGCCGATGCCGTATTCGCGCAAACTGCATCGCGCGCTGTGGCAAAAATATACCTACTTTACGTACAAAAATATGCTGAAGTCACACGCGTTTCAAGGCATCAGCTATTTATCTTGGTTTTCTGTTCTAAACCGGTATCACAGTGGTACGCACGGACAGCGGAGGTCTTCAACGACGCGAAAGCTACATGATGGAATATTACGTCACATTGAGGACACCGTAAGGCGGCAATCAAACTTCCAGCAGTATTTCAAGAAAGAGCTGGCAGCTCCACTTATTGTCATCGTCAGCGCCGATAATTGTGCTAGTCGCCCCCTCTCCGTCATTCGTCTTGTAACCGCAAGGTGAACGGTAACTTTTACTTCCAGATGATGATGACATGCCCCATCTTTGTAGTTCGCGACGTCACTGTTTCTGGAAAAGGGACCCTTTGGAAGAAAGGGCCGGGATTTCGCAGTGATAGCATTTTCAGAGGTATGTCTTTCGGCGAAGACCGCTGTTCTGAATAGTCACCGAGCATCGCCACACTTTTCTCCCATTATCCGACGCCGCCACAAAGGTCACTCGTCCGTTGGAGTCACGTGACATTCGTTTACATGCCAGCTGCCCGTGGGCGCCGCCATTTTGGTGCCTAATCAGCACGCATTACCGGTTGCGACAGTTGTGGTTCTGAAATACGACCCTTGGAGCGGTGGTAGATGAACATACCGGTATCGTTGTGCCCTGTTGTGAAATGTTTAAGCCAACCGGACGACGGAAAGCAGGCAAGACGACGGACCACGTGGCTTGGCAGTCTGTTGTCAAAGGAAACTTCCCATTCTTTTCCAAAGGAGGCCACGGTGAGCTGCGGCTTTGGACCTCTTCCAAGATTGCGGGGGAGTTTACGATTTGAGCTTGTCATCGCCGCTCCAGTTGTTAGAAAAAAAAAAAGGGGGGGGGGGGGGGGGGGGACTGTCGAAGGTGGGTTATGTGAACCACGAGGACGTTTCCTCTCCACGCTGACCGAGTTGGCAAAAGAAAGTACGTCAGAACGCAAAGGGCGAAAATCCAGGGCTTGAGCCATCGACGCTAGTCCCAAGATAGGGTTGCCGTCGTGGGCTCTCGGTGTGAATGAAGATGGCCATCGTACCTATCTGTGGTCGTGTATCACTACAGCGTGGTGCACGTTGAAGACCCCAGGCTATCAGTGGTGCTGCACTGTCTAATTCTCTCATCAATGGCGTGTAACAATGTCGCCACTCTGGCATATACTAACCTCACATTGTCTAAACATGGAACTAATTAATTAGTCTGTGAATAAACATGTTTCTTGTTAAGCTTTTTTTTTTTTTTTTTTTTTTTTTTTTTTTTTTACGTACGTTTGAACTCATGAAGGACTTATATTGTTTCTTGTAACATCTAGCTGGAGTCGGTCAAGCCTGAATAGAAAGCTCATATATGTGCACACCTTACGGCAACGATTATGGATCTTGCGCGTTCAAAAGTGAAACTGTCCAAACGGGCGTCTGCAGATGTTGTATAGCACTCTTGCGCCAGTTCATTTCGGTCGGATCTCCACCAGAAAAGCCTCGCTCACAACTTCAACGTTTCATCGGCGAAAACAGCCACGTCTGCAAAAGGTTGTTGCTCAACATGCATATTTATTTTGTTTAGTTCATGCGCCAGGTTGGGCGCCGTGTAATCGCAAACATTAGTATTCGTGCCAGCATAGTTTTAGTGCGACTATATATTTCTAAAAAGAGAAAAAAAGAAGAAAATGTGGCGTGCGTTAATTTTTCATAAACCTTCTACTGCGCGACGGGTTGTCTACCTTATCAATTCACTCCAGGCGTGTCACAGCAAGGAAGAAGGTAACTTCCCCATTTCCAAGTAATGGCAAATACTCTGCGCATTCAAAATTTTTGGTGACATCCACTACTATCCTATTTAAGAGTCGGCAACATATTTCTTAATTTTATTGCAACAAATCTGCTCAAAACGCTCTGAAACTTAAAAAGAAAACACATAAAAATACGCGGGTTTGCATCAATGTGGCAAATCGCAACTTTGCAAACTAAAGCCACAGTCAGGCTGCTAATACCTTATACAAAAGACAGACTGCGGGCACTGTCTGAACAGTGTCTGGAGATGATTCTGTGATCACGTCTGAAGACCGTGTCTCTTGCATGATGTCTGCGCAGTGTGACTACGGCTTAGAACTTTTTTTATCGTTTAAATGCGCGCATCTAAGACATCGCGTAAACACGGCCGGAACAACGTGCGGCCTTGAGCCTACCCGCGCGTTTATAATGAGGGAAGGAGGAGAACGAGAAAACCAGAACCCACATTACCTTGAGCGACTCGTGGTGGTCGGCAGCGGCCAGCGTGATGCAGACCGCCGCGACGAGCAGAGTTCCGTAGAGAGCCAACTTGGTCATCTCGAGCCGCCGGTCGTTGTCGCGAAGGGTGGATAAAATCCGCAAGGTGTTTTTTCTCTGACGCTAGTCCTACGTCTTTTATGCTACCAAGAGACGGTCAGCGCAGAGAGGGTCGGGCCAGTCGGGCAGGGAAAGAAGACGTGTGGTCACCGCGGCGCGCGTCCAAGAACCACTGTGGGCTTCTTTTGTGGGCTCCAAAGTTGCCTCCGAAAGATGACGAGGAGGAGCGGAGGCGGTGAATGAGCGCCGTTTGGGGGAGGAGGAACGACGCGGAGCAGGATGGTGGCGCCGCGTCGTGGCGGCGTTGCGAAGCTTTGGAGAGTTCTGTCGGTTTTGTAGGTTCTGTACCTCCGCTGCCGCTGTGACCAGTTATGTTCGCTACGTTGGCTTTAGTGGTGCAGCTTGTGTTGCAGATGCTACAGCGACTGTTGAATGGACTTCTTCCAAAACCGACGCGCCCCATCGCGGCGAAATACCACGCAGTGCACTCTGGGAACTAGTTGGCCACTCAGTTTCGGTTTCGACTGAGCAGCTTCATCTCATGCTATCACGCCGCGACCGAACGCGCTGCTTGCGTTTTCAATTATCTGACTTTTCACGAACGTACAATACACTCATTCTCAAGCGATAGAAAACGAAGACCGGGGCACTTTTCTTGGTTCCCGAAACACCGGATATTGTGCGTGCGTATGCGAACGTAATGAGTCGTGGCTTAGTCGCCTCACCCCACGAGTGCATCTTTGAGCTCAATGTCAGTAATCCCGTCTGGTACCTGTGACCTAGAACTGAAATTCGTTCACCTGGAGCCTTTCACCTATTTTGTTTTCCAAACGTCCGCTTCTTGTTACTTCATTGAGCAAAAAGCAAGCCGCATTCTCACAGGAGTATCAAAGTTGAGCCCAGCGTTTACGCATGAACTTTTAAGGAAACGCAATAAATTCGACCTCACTACTGCACAAAAGTTACTATGATGTCTTCCTCGTGTCATCATATATCTCCACTAGAATTTTATGCTGATAGAAGATTAACTTTTCGCAAACGCTGAGATCGGCTAGCTACGACGGAGGCCCTAACAAGCGTCCCCTACTCCTCGCTAAGCCTTTTTGGACGAGCTTTTACTGACGCCCAAGATCTGTGCCTGAACGGTGTGTCTGAAATTATCTCGGCATACTTAGGCAGGAAGAAAGCAAACACATAACAAATACAATGGCCATTAGCAGCCGTCAAATGCGCTTTGAATTCGTTCGAGCACTTGTCTGGAGAATGTCGCACCGTGCGCCGGACGGGCATGCATGAACCCCAATGCGGTACGCATAGGGGTTCATGCCCGTCTGACGCACTACCGGCGAACGGTGTGACATTCTTCACACAAGTGCTCGACTTTTGCATTCTTAAAACGGCCTGTATGCGCGAATTTGCCTATATGATTGCACGATAACTTTATGCGCATACGCGATGTTGAATATTAGTGGAATGCAAGTGGGTGGGGACTTCACTTCGTGCAGTGCTGCGGGTCAGTACAGATAAGAGATAAGTGTGTTAAAATTGAGCTTTTCAATGGCACCTCCGAGTTTTACCTCGCGTACTCAGGCACATTAAGAAAAACAGTAATTGCAAAAAGTAACATTTCGTCTATGGACGCACGAAGCAAACTTCCTGATCAAAAACACTAATGTAAAGGCGCGAGCTCGATGTATGCATACTTATTGGTTGCTACAGCTTGTTGATTCGTATACAAGCAAGATCCCCGAGCACCCGAGCTTCGCAGCGTCGAGACTCTCAGCACTGACTCGTCCACATACCTCGATTGGAACGCTAACAGGAAGGCTTAAGTACAAAAATACAACAAGCATGTGTTAAGACAAGCTATACGTCTCGGGATTGTGCTAAAGCTTCGAGGTATGACCATTTAGGTTAGTTTAGAGGCCACAAATGACGCTCTCGGGACCAGAAAACAATCTCTTGTCGACGTGTCGATCGAAACCGAAACCATGCCACGCCTCCTCTCTGGCCAACTAGTTCCCAGAGTGCAACGCGCGCCGTGTTGCATGCAGGGCTTTATGGAAGTAAGCGCGAAACACATGTACGATGAAACCGTCCGATCCGACGTGCGGACTGCCGGAATGACCTTGGGGGGGAGAGGGTTTTCGTAGCATCGGAGAGCGTTGAAAACCCTCGCCTCCGACCGTCGTATTGCGCGGTCGGACGTCGGATCGGACGGTTTCGTCGTACATGTGTTTCGCGCTGTAGTCCATTGTACATTCGCGTTTGAATATGGCCGATCGCGTTGCAGCTGTGTGTTTGAAATAATTCGGACAAGGGTATAAGTTGGGCTCCGTGTTTTCGGAGTTACTTTTCGTCAAATTCGGGAGGGGGTTTTTCGGAGTTCATCGGAGTTTTTATTTGTTTGACTCCCGATTCTCCGAAATTCGGAGTCTAATTTTGCAGTGTTTCGTATTGAAAATAAATATGTAAATAATAACCGGATGTAAACATGTGCCAGATAAAAAATAAAACGCGTTTGTATCGATTAAAATTTCTTCAGTTGAATTTGACGTTCGTGCCATTGCCATTGGCCATATTAATTTGTCCCACGACAAATGTTCCACACAAGTGTTACTTCGATAAACGTCGATACCTTGAAATCAATAAACTCCCGGGGGCAGTCGCTACAAAGCTCGTAGTCATCCCATCCTATTCCATCAATCTAGCGCGTGGCCGCGCGAGGTGGAGTGGTTGGGATGTAATAGAGAGTTTCAACTGTCCCTTTTCTCTATCTCTATGGTCCATAGCTTTCACTGTTACAAAAGCATACCTTCTCCCAGGGGCGGATCCTAACCCCCCTCTTGACTTCTGCATATGTAAAATTTAGGGCGTGAAACGAGGGAGACGGAGAGGAGTTCCTGAACAAATGGTACGCTGACCCCCCCTCCCCTCAGGAAATTCCTGCATCCGCCCCTGCCTTCTCCTTTCTCTAAATCGCAAATCGCATGGCTCAAACTGGAAACCAAAAGAGTGACTTTTGTCGTGACCCGAATGTACAATGACCTGTTGTCCTGAATCAACCTCGACGAGACAAGCGGCAAGACCCCTTTTGACAACGGTCTGACCCCCGAATTCATAGATGTGACTTGCTCTGAAGTCGAGCTTCAACTTGTTCAAGTTCGTCTTGCAACGAGCAAGCGCGCTTCATAAATGCACCCTAACTTGAACCGATCTTGAACCGAACTTGAAGTGCCCAGGACCACTGACTGACCCCGTGCTAATCAAATTGTAAAAAAAAAAAAAGAACAAAAAAGTCTCTTTTTTTTTTTTTTGAGTATTCAAAAAATAAAAAAAAATAAAAGGAGTTTTTTTTTTTTTTTTTTTTTTTAATAACATTTTTTATTTCTTTCATTTTTTATTTACAGTTAGGTAATATAGTAGTCTGCCAGGACCTGCCAACAGAAATTGTAATATATTGTTTGTATGGCGGCTATTAGGACTCATATCTCGTGCTGTGAGAGTTTTGAACGGGACTTCGCATAGACGCTCAGCTAAGCAGAATTTTGACCTGTGTAAGGTTTTCTATTTGATGTTAGTACTTACCTCAATATCTGAGCGTAAAAGCCAGTGAAGCAACAATATTTATCCTAACAATATTTATTTACTTGGCACTGGCGTGATTTGCGAGGCGTGTGAGCTTCGCCCTATGTATTGGCGGCGAAGATACGTAACATCTTGACTCCCGGACAAACTTAAGTCAAGAGGAAAATGTCTAAGTAACCCGGCATGAATCACTGAAAATGGAAATGAAACCTAAACACATGACTAACACGTTGGAAGCCTTACACGCTACGAAATGCTTGTTATTTTACGAAAGAGTCCATACGCGCACAAAATAAACCATACTTCCTAATCGTCAGATACTGAATCGTACATATGTATATGCACTGCATATCTTTTTGACATAAGAAAATATGACAATTACATGTCAAGTTCGGCATTTCAAACTCAAAGCCGAAAGCAAAAGGCCCCAGAGGAATTCTCTGACGATCTACATTCCCCAGTATTGGGAGGAAGTAAGCGCTGGGTGCCCGCACCTGTAGATACGGACTTCGAAGTAAATTCTTTAAGTACACTACAAATTTTATTAATTGTTATGGTTGGATATCGAGGTAATTGCTAATGATAAATAGAAAACCTTACTTAGGCCAAAATTCTGCTCAGCAGAGCGCCTATGCGAACTCCCGTTCAAAACGCTCATAGCACGAGATTCGAGTCTTAATAGCGGCCATACAAACAATATATTACAATTTCTGTTGGTAGTTTCTGATAGACTAATTAATATTAACTAACTGTGAATAAAAAATATAAGAAATAAAAAGTGTTTTCTTTTTCAGAAAATCGACTCCAAACTTGCCAGTTTTTCGAAATTTTCGTTTTTCAGGCCCATGTAGCGCGTTATATACTTATTGCAAAATAATGAATTTATACTAAAAAAAAGAGCTTAATTGGAGCTTTACGGTGATATAAATATCATAAAAATATGTTGATTAGGTCACACAGCACAGCTGGCTGAACTCAGTCAAATATCGTCGCAGACGCGGTTTGACAAAAAAAAATCATTAAGAATGTTATGACCTATACTCCGTTTCACCTTCAGTCCGAGCGCAGCGGACGCTAGGAGTAATCCCAGCCAATCCAGCGTGGGGAGAGTGTCATGTGACCTTGAGCTCCCCGTGTCCCTCTGCCCAACCGGCAGGTCACGCGATTTTCTCCCGGCGCTGGATCGGCCGGGATGGCCTGTGGCGTCCACTGCGCTCAGACTGAAGGTGGAACGGAGTATAGAGTCCTAGACGCTTAATTAGCATTAAAAAGCCTATGTCTAGAGTGTTCCCAAAAAAGTAGCGAAAAGAGATGGAGTGAAATATGGCACCTCCGAAAAAGCTGGAAAAACATCAGTTTTATCCTTGATCGCTTCAACGTTCCATAACTTGAGAACAAAACATCAGACAAAATTGCTGTTTGCGTCTTCTTTTATTATAGGAATTGCCCCAAAACATATATTTTTTTCGTCAAAATTAAAAATTAGACCCTAACTCCGTGCCCGAGTTGAGATGAAATAACCCACGTACATGTGCAAAATAGATTTTTTGCCTTGCAAGTTATACATTTTATTTTACCCGACTGCAGAGTGCGTGTAACTTTTAATGTTGGTTTTGGCGTAACATTCATTTGCTGTTTCTTCAATCGCTCCTTTGAACTTGGAGATAATAAATAGCATGCCCGGAAGAGTAAAGCCTCGATATTCTAAAAATCTGTAAAAAAAAAAAAAATAAATAAATAAAAATAATAATAATAAAAAAATCGCTGGCTTTTTTTTTTTTTTTTTGGCTTTTAGCATCGATTTATTTTTGGTACATAAGCGCTTTGATTTAGTTATAAGAGGGAATCCTGCTATGAGTCTCTGCTAACAAATGTTTGTATAATTTTATTTTCTTCCCACGCAGGTTGCTTTCAACGAGCTCAACCCCTTTCCAATGAGAGTCATCAATGCCAAACGTGCTGCCCACATGCAAGCTGTCAAAGTGAGTGCGACCAAGCCTATCTGTGCGCGCTCTAGGCCTTGCATCTTTTTCATTGTTGCTCGGCGAATTGAATATTCGGTAGCTTGTGTTCTTAAATGCATGGTTCAGTAATTTTGTATAAATTAAATGTTTTTTTTTTTATTTCCACCTAGAAACCCGCTAAACAAAGTTTGACCATTGTGTCGGAGTAATATTAGTTGAATGATACAGCCGTTTTCAGCAATAGCTTAAGGTTAGTGAACCACAAGTTCGCTGTCGAATAAATTTAAAAAGTCAGGGAGTCTGCACGAATATCTGAAGTAAAATCGCTTTTGTCAGCTCAGTTTTACAGATTAAGCACAAATAAAATATCATGGTATGAGAACTGTGGAAGCAGTGCTAACATAAATCTAATCTAGAACTTGCTGACCTTAACATTAATATATTAGCTAACACGCCTTTCACCAGGAACTACCTGTTTCAGTTAGAACCTCGACAAGGTTTCTCTAATGGAGAAATAGTTTTGGTATAAAGTACCAAAGCTCACCTTGTTTTGTTTTTTTTTAAAGTCATTGTACAAACACGTTGACATTCTAAATTTTACTTTCTTCCTCTTTCAAATCTTGAGGGCAGCAGGTAGGCCAGCAGCTGGGGGACATGTATAAAGTCCCCCAGCGAATGCATACCCATGGTGCAGTATGATGGAAAGTTGGATGAGCTGGTGGAATATATGGTCAAGAAGAGTGAACAGCACCAAAAATAACACCTGTGCACCCCCCCGCCCCCCGTCTTCTTGGCCTTCGTTTTTTCGACGCTGTTCACTCTTCGTGACTACCCATGGTGTGAACGGATAAACGTTGAACAATATGGCCCATGGGCGATCTTTCGGGAAGCGACAGCAAAAATTTCAACAAAAATGAGCAATAAACACGCGGGCATGCAGGGGACATTCGCACGACACTGGAATTTATACCACAGATCGCAGACACGGCAAATTTGCATTCCAGGGTGCTGCTTTTTTTTTAGTTGAGCATAATAATAATTTGTGCACTGCACGTGGCACAGCGCGAACACGACATCGGCGCCTTTTTTTTAATTTTTACTTAATTTTCATCTTTACTACAAATTTGTATGGTACATGACTCAGTACTCGGAAGTTTCTCATTGGTGTATCTCATGGTCTGTTCGGGCGGTTTAATTAGCTCCGTTGAGTGCGCTTCTTCACTCGCAATGGTGCACTGCAGAGAAGCTACGCCCGTGGAGTGGACCTCGCGATTCTGCGTACGTCGCTTTGAAAGTTCGTCCAGGGTGGAGTGGTGCACGATGGCGCATCAGGTATATAAACCAAAAAAAGTAAAGAAAAAACGATAACTTGGTTAATGCCGATGTAAAAATATTAACCTGGCAGTTAGATTTGCGAAATAAAGCTAGTTAATTTCTATATGATAGAATGTGACATACGGACAAATGGCGTGCATCCTTTGTTTTGCTTCTTTTTTTAAAATTTAGGTAACAGTACTTCTAATTTGGGGTTTTGGAGAGCGTTGATGAATCACGCTGATTAGGTGTAACTGGGCTGTGCTGCAAGCGTAATTTTTATGTTTAGGTAGATATGTTTAGATAGATAGATAGATAGATAGATAGACCTCCCCAAACAAAAAGAAAATCTATAGGGTGGTTTCATTGGAATCTAACACGTGTGGAAGAGTGCACGTTTTGATTTCCCTAAAATGTCAAATATATTATAGCCCCATTTTCATAATCAAAAAGTTTGAAGTGAAGCAAAGTGAAATGCTACATTTAGGCTGCTTGAATTTTATACCGAGTTCTGTCGGTTGTTATAAATAGGTAAAAACGAAAACATTCACAACAAATTTACTTGTAAATGTATGACACATGGTGTATTTGTTCCTTTAAATTAAATTGCTTTGGCATATTTGATGGCAGAAATAAAAAAAAATGACAAATTCGCATCTTGGACGTTTTCGTGACACATTTAGAGCCTTGTATTTATTTATTTATTTGGTACTTATGATTCATTATACATTGATTATTAATTACTTCACTCATATAGGCCTATACATGTACTATCGACTGGTACTACTTTAGTTTAATTTTTAGAGCGCAGCTCTTAGGGGCCCGTTCCCGGCTTGAGCGGCGTCGCCGTTGGCGTCGCCGTCGGCGTCGGCGTAACCAAGGTCATCCCAAGGTCACGTGACCCCCAAGGTCACGTGACCCCTCCCAAGGTCATGTCAAGGTCACGTGACCCCCTGAAGGTCACGTGACCCCTCGAGGTCACGTGACCCCTTCCAAGGTCATCTCAAGGTCACGTGACCCCAAGATGACCCCACGTGACCCTTTGAAGGTCACGTGACCCCCAAGTCACGTGACCCCCGAGGTCACGTGGTCGCCACCCCAAGGTCACGTGACCCCCAAGGTCACGTGACCCCTTCCAAGGTCATCTCAAAGTCACGTGACCCCTCTGAGGTCACATGACCCCTCTGAGGTCACGTGACCCCTCTGAGGTCACGTGACCCCCCGAGGTCACGTGACCCCTCCAGGTCACGTGACCCCCAAGGTCACGTGGGGGTCACCTTTGGGGTCACGTGGCCTTGAGGTCACCCCCAGGTCACGCCTCCCCGAGGTCACGTGACCCCCTCCCCGAAGTCACGTGACACCCCCCCCGGAGCATATTAAAGAATGAGGGGAGGAGGAGGAGAAGGGGGAGGGGTCTACCCTCCCCTCAGTACCCTTCACTCCTCCTCCTCAAGAGCTGCGCTCCAATTCGGCGTTACAGGGATTTGTAAACGGCTTTCACTTTTTTTATCACAAAATAACTTTTATAAGTTTTTAAATTTCATTAAAAAAATTAGCCATAATTTAAACTAGCTTTATTAAGAAACAATTTTTTTTTTTGTTCTTAATAATGTTATTTTTCTGTGGGCATCATCAAACTTCCCCCCTTTTTCTGTAGAAGTGCTCGAACGCAGATGCATGCGCCTGAGTAGGCAAATTTACTGCAAGGGTATTTAGCCTTTAGACGCTAAGGGCAGGTGGGTCGGAAGTGTTTGGGACGTGAAGGGGCGACAGAAAGTGGCGGTAAAGAGGGTGGGGGGGGGGGGGGGGGGAGAGAGTGCAAGGGCGTGCCCTCATAAGGCGAAATTGTCTGCCCCTACCCTTCGCTGTTTTAAAACCACAAACTACAAATATGTGTTTGTTTTTGAGGGGGAGAGATGTTAATCGGACACTTGAGTCGGGCTACATATTTTTGCTTATACCAGTTAGCATGTATATTATTTCTTTCATCTCGTCCGTATTTCTGTTCTTAAAAAAACATAAGACGAAATCTGCAACCAACGGTCTTTGTGTTGCACCTATCATTCCAGTCCTCTGTTCTAGCTTTCTAGGTTTGAAGTTGCTCGTGTCCAGTTTTATCAATAGTAGCCATCCACAGATTTTATCAAGTCTTCTGACGACTGTCGACACGAAAAGAAGATATATCAAAATGAGTCTTTTCACTCAGTGAAAAAGCACCTCGATGTGGATTTGTTGAGATCAGCCCTGCCCCCTCACAACGGGTGCTGCGAGGAGGTTTTCAAACGTGCTTTGGCCAGAATTGCTTCGCGCATCTCGATAAAAACTCTGCGAGCTCTGCGAGTAAGTTGAGCTCAAGTTTGTTCCCAAGTGTAGTTTCCAAGCATGATATGCTCAGAGACGTTAAGGAAGGAATTCCCGGCGGCAGATTAAAAGCGCATTCAGTTGAAATGTTCTTAGCAAATTAGCGACTGCCTATTAGACAAAACCAGACTGCTGAGACTTCACAGCTTATTGCTCCTGCTTCGCGTGTGGTGAGTTGTGGCTCAATGTGTGTTAAGATTTTATCGAGCCGTTGCTCAGTCGAGAGAGATGCTAGCTTTAGATACTAAGTTCTGTCAGCATTGCGGTAATTCCCGATTAATTCCCGGAACATCAAAATATCTGCTGTGAAAGTGGACACAACTGCAGGCTCATTTTGGTGCGTGAAAATTGTGACATTTTTATCATACGGGGAAGGTGAGCGTGTAGGTACTGAACTTGGCCAATGTGCACTGCACAAGTATGATCTCCATTGCCCTATTCGAATTCCAAACATGATACATACTATGAAAGTAAACAATTATTGCGAGAAGTCGTAATCAGAATATACGTGATAAGGTCTATTTGGGAGACCTACTTGGTTTCAACAAGCCAAAACGGAGATTACAGCATTTTATTCATATCGTCTAAAATTAATGAAGATCAACTTAAAGCACACCATATGTGCCTGTGTATGCTGTACCAATTTCTGTCTGTTTTTGTACTCGCTCAAAGATGAAATTGCAAAACAAGAACTGATCTCCTTGGGCTTTTTACAAAGCTGACCTCAATAGATTTGGGTTAAGGTGTTTCATAATGGGAAAATGTCAAGTCTGATACACTTTCTTCTTGGAGACTCGACTAAATCTGTGAATGTCAGTCAGTGTTAAAACCAGACACAAATAAGTTTGTGTAAAAAGTTGGAGCAGCTAGAGGACTGGAATGCTAGTGACAACACCAGGTCTGCCGTTTGTAGACATGTTTTTGATTAAACAACAGTTAGGATTGAGTCAGTGCACTCTTCGGGAGGAAAAGAACATGACAAATCCAAAGAAGACAGATAATATGAGGAATAAAAGACATTACATATTAAGCTGAGATAAACACCAACGTGCACCCCAACTCAAGTGCCCTGACTTAAGTAATATTAACAACAACTATAACAATAATAATCATAATTTATAAAAATCTTGAAGGGTTAAGCTTTGCCTATAAGAGCGGAACGCAATAGCATTATTGGGCCTCGTTCGCATCGCCTTCTCATTCACTGTGCGAGCGTGCCATAGTCAGCGGTGTGTCTGGCTCGCAGCCGAAGTCTGGGGTTTGAATCCCGCCTGAGATTCTTCAGTTTTAAGGCAAATTAATTCTTTTATAAAGATAAATCATTTGGGACATGTCGCAACCTTTAATTCACATTACTTGTCATGTTTTAATCACCTTCATTCAACGCATGACGTCACGTTTCACGTGAGCATTGTGGGTTGTTTGAAATTCCCGCGCGAGGTCATGTGGCTGTGACTTCTTGACCATGTCGACCAATCAGGATTTTATTGGTTTTTCTGTGATACGAGCTTCCTAACGTGTTAAAGGTAGGCATTAACTAATGTCAGCAGGGCAAAGGGATAGGGGTAGACATTTTCGCCTATGGGTATGTCCACATAGCCCTCCCCCCTCCTCCATCTCTGCCACCATTTTTAAAAAGATGACAGACCGAGGATGCTACATGAGTGGGCCCAACTCAAGAAAGCCGTCCACGATTTCGTGGTGGATTACACAAGATCTGGCATCCATCCCTTACCCACCCGTACCTCTTGTGCCTCAGGATCACTGGGTCAAGGCAGGCGATTCTTCTGTAAAAATGACTATATGCTTCAGCTCACTCACTCTGTCGCCCCTTCAGCCCCCAAACATGTCCGAGCACCCTGCCCCTAGCATTTTAAGGCGAAAAAACCTTGCAGTGAAGGCAACTTTCAAAACTACCCTTTTTCCGATTCGGGTGCAGGTATGTATGTTTAAAGAGATGCTGAACCGAAATCTGGATTCCCCAAAACACACGGCAAAAGCGTGCAACGGGATGCTACAAACACCTAAACATCAGTCATGCAACGATATCTCAAACGGATGACAGTATTTTTCAAAAAAGGAGGCGCATTTGGCAGGAATGTTGACGTCATGTTTTTCCGAGAAGGAGAGGGAACGGCCTCGCGGCTTCTTTGCCTCACCGCCTTGAGGGACCGAAGCGAAGAGAGGAGGAAACAAGGTATCTTGACGTCACATGCCTCGTCGGCCTGGTTCAATCTCAACCTCTTTTTCCAAAAATATGGCCGTACATTTGAGATATCGCCTTACTAGTAGTGTTGTAGGGATTGTAGCGTCCCACCTACATCTCCTGCATTGTTTTTTTTTTTAATCCAAATTTCGGTTCACCATTTCTTTAAGTACTCCTACAAAAAATACAACAAAAAAAGGAAGAACTTTGATTATGCCGAAAGAGAGTTAACAATATTGGGAACAATAGAAATAGAACAAATGAGGAGTAAATAAAAAAATGGCGCCTTTTTTAATAAAATGGGTTCAAATTATGGCTAAATTTATCTATTGACAAAATTTAAAAAGCTATATAGGCTATTTCGTGAAAATAATTAAAACTAAAATGGTACCAGTCGATGGAACTTGTACAGGCCTACCTGCATATAGTTGTTAGTAGCCTAAAATGTGTGCAAATCACAAGATACATGGCTTCAAATATGTCACAAAAGAAAAAAAAACATGTCAAAGTTGCAATGTTTGGCATTTTTTTTTATTTCTGCTATAAAATGGGCCGTGCATCAGACATTTACAAGAAAAATTAGTGTGTTTTCATTTTTACCTATTTATAACCAACAGAACTGGGTACGAAAATCAGGCAGTCTAAATGGAGCATATCACTTTGCTTCACACCAAACATTTGTAAAAAAAAATCCTTTTTCTAAAAGACATTTAAAAAGTGGTTTTGTTTATTATGGAAATAGGGCTGTAATATAATTTTTGGAGGCAAATCAAAATGCGCACCCAGACATGTGTGTTTGATTTAAAATTTAACCACCCTATAGCTATGCTCTTTGGTGCATAAAAATGTACAGTGAAACCCGTTTAGAACGAACCCACGTACAGCGAATTATTGTCGATATCGAACTCACGGGAAATTTAAATAAAAATGCATGTGAAAGGTACTTTTTACGATGAACAACATATTGGCTATATCAAACTTTTTCCCCCCGGGAAGGCTTCCAAAAACGCGCAGACAATCGTCCCTTCCTTTAAAGAAAAAGTAGGAAAGAAAGAAAATTCCAAAAGCTCGAGTTGCGAACAAAATTGAGCGAAGAGAAGCGATTCAGAAGGTGAGAAAGCTAAAAAATACATTCTGCAGCACGCACAGAAAAGAAAAAAAGAAAACACCTTTCATACAAAAGCATTTGCCCACGAAGAGAAGCGATTCAGAAGGGGAGATAAGCTAAAAGAACAATCTCTGCACGCATGCAAAAAAAAAAAAAAAAAACACGAAAACTTTCCAGCACGTTGTTACAAGGCAAAAGTGAAGAGGTGAGAAAGAAAGAGAAGCTCTCGCCTTACAACAAATGCATCGGGGAAGTTCGTTGTAAATGTTTTTTGCTATATTGAACTACTTGCTATATCTAACTGATCGTAGCGTTTCCTGCTGTTTGTTATAAACGGGTTTGACTGTAGACCATTAGTTATCGAAAGAAACTCTTTGGTATGTTGTAATTACGGTTCCGCGTTTTCTGATAAATCCAAAAAACACAAACCGGCAAAACTGTTGTCAATTGGGATTTATTCGATAAACTCGGAATTTTCATGTCCCAATGCAAAACAAACACGGCGTTCTACAATGAAACATGGTCGGAGCGCATGGTCGCTTGTCCTGAGTGAATGCCACCCCACTTCACTTTAAAATCTCAGATTACTGACAAAAGGGGTCTTACCGTTTATCTTGTCAAGGTTCATTGAGCAGTCGGGACAACAGGTTATTCTACTCTTGGGTCATGATAAAAGCAACTGTTCTCGTTTCTAGTTCGGACCAAAATGTTCGTGCTTCTTGGAAGTTGCATCTTTGTAACATTGAACCGTAAAGATTTTATAGAAGGGAGGGGGCAGGGCAGTTTAAGTTTCTATATTTGCTTTTAAATTTCATCCTTTATTACTCCACCCCGCACCGCTGCAGGAGGTAGGGCGATGGTATAGGATGAAATGAAAACGAGCCTTCAGCAACAACCTCCAGGAAGTCGGGAATTTTAAAGTATATCGCAAGTTTTGTCGTGGGACAGATTAGTATTGCCAATGGCAACGATGGCAAAGCCAAATTTAAGTGAAGAAACATTGTTTGATACAAGCCCATATTCTATTGAATCTAGCACATGTTTACACCAAGATATTAGTTTTTTTTTAAATAGAAAACACTGCAAAATTAAGATCCAAAATTTTGCCAAAAAAGAAGAAAAAAAAAAAAGTCGATAAACACTCCGAATTTGACGGGAAGTGAACTCCGAAAACACAAAATCCTATTTATAATCCTCCCCTCTGTAATGTCTCTGGGCCCTAAGGGTGCAAATAAATAAATACCCTGTTGAGTAACTAACAGTTGTACTTTTCAACTTCTTCTCCCTGTTCCTCAGGAGCAACTGCGTAAGCTGGACGAAATCCGGAACTCTCTTCCCGAGAGGAGCACCACGCCGAGCAATCAGCCAAGCTCTCCAGACGATCCCTCCATCTGAGCACACCTTCCAGAATAGCCCCGATCAAAACCCAACACAAATTCTCCCATAGACCCGAGCAAACAGCAAACTTTGAACAAACAAACGACGAGCGCAAGCAATTTATAGCAAAGAGACTGCCGGCTTCGCCGATCAAATACTTGGAGCTTCTTTTTGAAGCTGAACTGCAGTATTCGCTCTGTTGGGACAGTACAAGTTGCACTTGCGAGTGTTCAAGGTTGCGTGAAAAGAACACTTGTTACTGGTCTTGTAATACGGGGCAGTTCACTTTGCGTGTCTAGTTGTTGCTGATGTCACCTGGATGTAATGATTTTTAGTTTTAACTTTACTCGGGTGAAAGATTAAGCATAAAAAGGCCAATTTTCCTATTACGTTGTGATAATTTGTGTAATGAAAATGAAAGGGTGGACTTCTTTTTGACAAAACAATGGCGATGGAAAAAAGAGAGTAATATTTATATTAACACAGCCTCAAAAGGATGTTATTAGAGAAACATACTTAGTAGCCACTCCACGATAAAAAAAATGATTATTTTTTTAGGTCTTTATTTAAACTTCGGTCATTTGTGTCCCTCAGACCTCGTTGTGAAAAATTGAAAAATACAGTTTCAAAAACTGGTTGATGCAGTTGAAGGCACAGTAAGGTGAATTACCTTGCATTAGTAATTCAATAATAACAAGAAAAGTAAGCTGCATCCTTAGTACATTCGAGTTGAAATGGCAAGAAACAATGCAACATAACAGTTGTTATGGTAGTCATGAAAGTCAAGTGGTGGGGAGTGCCGATAGATTTGGATTTCTTGCACCATGTAATAATTATATGAATTGTTTGCAACTTTCATGTCACTGCTTGGCCTGTGATATTTCTGCTTACTTTCTCTTTTTATATATGCCATGTATAATGAATTCTCAGCTTCACTACTTTGCTCGTAAACTTAATTTCTCAAACGTGTTCGGACATTACTAGTTACCTCCTTGGTACAGAAGGAAACAGTCCAAAACATGATGTAAGGACAAGTAGACGGAAGACACAAATGCAGCACGGACTCACGACTTTGTTTTCTTTCTCATCTTCTTCGATGCATAAAAGGAATTAAGTAGGATAAAAAGAGAAAGACACAGTCGTGGCAGGATACTTCTTCAGTCAGTCATTCAATATATAAAAACCAAGTGTTGCAGAATATGTAAGTTTTAAAAAGTTGAAGGAACTAAAACTCAACTTCCACACTTATCTTTCCATTCTCAAATTAATTCAAACTCTTCCTTGCACACTGTCACTGACTCTGCACCAACAGAAACATCAGGACCATATAGATTAATGTGATATGCCTTATGAATTTCCCTAGTTAAATTTTGGGTATGTCTTGCCAGGATTTCAATTTGTTCAAACGATAGGTGTGCAACACAATCTATTGCTGTGAACTGCCAGATGACCCGATAGCATAGACCTCAAGGACTGGGGGGTGTTACCTAGCTCAAACATTTATGCACCTACCTGTCTGTCCCATGTAGACCTTAACGCAAGAGAATGGGATTCTATACACGACTCCGACTGCATGCAACATATTTGAAAGGATGTTTGATTTCACACACTACACATTTCCTTCTTGCTCTCTCAATCGTAGCACACAAGTGAGACAGCTTTGAAAGGGCTGAAAAGACTATAGGAACTTTATATTTATCTGCCACCTTCTTAATCCTATGGGAAAGGTTATGAAGATACGGTATTGCCAATGGTCAGGAGGTAGGTTTCCGCATATCGTTGTCTCAAGTACCAGGCCTTTGTCTGAAGAAAGTTAAAAGACACCCGTTGAAATCAGCCTGTTGATCTGAAACATAAAGCTTGAAAACTTTTATGAAACCAACATATTGTTAAAGAAGCTATCAGACAGGGTTTGGCAATACCTCTCTTTACAATATTGGAGTGCGTGGAATCGTTGCTTAGGAGACTTCTTTGTCCTCGTAAGTCAGCACTGTTTGTAGGTCACCGTCAGTCAGCTTTAAATTTGTGTCTTTCGTCTACTTGTACTCACGTCTTTTCTGTGCTGTTTTCTTCTGTTACAAATATGCACTGACTAGCATGCCTTGAAACTCTAATATAGTTAGTTACCTTGTAACTGCTGAAAGGAATGCTTGCGTGAAACATTGAAATTTGCAAATTCAGTGTGAAAAAAAAAAGAAAAAAAGATATGGACTGCTTTTTTGCTAATGTTGGTAATCTATAAAAGAAAAAAAAATTTATTGCAGGTTTGAAACTGTGGAAGGAGGTTATTTGAATATGGCATTCCAAACTTTTTCATTGTTTAACAAAGTATCTACACTTGTTGCACATTTATTCAGTTATTGTATGTTTTATGATCCACCTGGTGACGTTGATAAGTTGGCTTCATAAGGACGTGTCTAATATTCCCAGAGAATTAATTACTTTAAACTATTTATACATACTTAACCAAGTACGCTGTCGAGACGCTTCAATGTGCAATATACACATAAGATTTACTATTTTTATGATGCCAACTACAAATACGCTTTTGCAGTTAACTATTTTCGATGCCTTTTTGGAACATTTGTACTGAACTTTATACTGCAAATAAAACTACTGTTAACAGGTGTGGCCCTTTAGTATAGTGTAACATACTCCCAAACTAGTTCTCTTTACAGAAATTTTCCACTCTTTCCTGCAGGACTTTGTTTCCCATACTCCGTTTCACGATAGCGTGGTGAACTGTGAAGGCTGCGGCCCCCCTGGACCAAATAAGAGTGTCGGAGTAAGTCACGTGATTACCATTTCATGGTCGAGGCCACGGAGGCCTCGTTCCCGCCACGGCAACGGCGCTCTCCGAGACGAAAAGTAGTTCTAGGTTTCTTTTTCTTTTAACGGCAATTGGACTCACGCGATTCCATCTCTATCGAGAACATATAAAAAAAATAAGGAATAAATATTGACAAATTGAGTTCCGATTATATTTAGACAACATTTCTAATTCGGCGGACATGATCCTGGGGAAACTAGCCCTTAACAGCCCCGGTGTAAAATCTGATGCTACATTCGTATCCTCTCCCAGTATTTTTCCCCTTGTTGCGCCTTGGCCGTTGGCAATCGCAGCCATATTGCCACGCTCGCCGGCGAGCGACCGCGCGCGTGACCGAGTGGTTAGCGTGCTTGACTGTCGCGCAGAAAGTCTGGGTTCGATTCCAGTCAGTGGAATGATCTTTTATTTGTCCTTTCAACATTGCGTTCTCGTGTGTTCGAGAACATTCTCGTATGATCGAGTTCCGAATGTTCCAGTCGCCGAACAATCTAGGCCGATTGTTCCAGAATTCAACGCGCGTACATAAGGGACTCCGCCTCCTGATCTGCAGCCAGTTTCGCCCCAGCGCTCGACTCTGCTGTCTCGCCGACCTCGACGCTCGCGACGCTTTGTTATTATTTTCTATTCTCCTTTTTGTTTTCGGCACAAGTTCGCCAGATTAAACGTTTATTTCTTCCTGTTTATTTATTGTCATTCTGGTCACCACCCGTGACAATATAATTGACCGCTTCTGCTCAAAACGTCCCACTGGCATTAGTACCTGCCAAAGATTTGCGGGTAAGTTGAGCGAACGGTTGTCTCATGAACTGTTCCCAAAGAGCTCGCTACTTAAGCAGACGGCAATGTTGCGGTGGTAGACGTTCATCCAAAGTTGGTTTGTTTCGCAGCAGACGACAGCCGGTTCCTTGGCACAGTGACACAAGCTCCCATGAAGTGGTGTCACGTGCCTCGCTCCAATGCTCTTATTGAGTCGCAGGGGCTGTAGCCTCCACAGTTTGCTAGGTTATCGTGAAATGGAGCATAGAAGTAGAAACTGCAACAAAGCCTGGCACACAATCTTCAGAATTACTTACAAGCCTACGGCCATCTTGGTGGCACCACGGTGAATGGGATGTCTTAACGACTGGCGTGCTTACCGTCCTATCTTGCCCGTGCATCGAAAGCGGTCCCGAAGTGGCAACAAAGTGCATCATGGGAGCCGGTGCATCACGCCGTCGGATGTCAAGATCCTGGCAGGGTTGATTGTAGGTATGCTAGTGAGAAAGGCGAGCAGACGCAAAGGCTGCCGTTGTCGCGGCGTGCCAACTCGTGTCTGACTTGGTTTTCCGTTATTGTCTGACTGTGGAGGGACCGGCATCAGAACGGGCTCGCGCTGCATCCACCTCCGCTGCTGTGCTGTGGTCACGATTGTGACAGGCAACAGCATGACACTTCTATGACGTCAATGAGCAGAAATTGAGGAAGTGAATTGAGGGTGGATGCAGTGAATACATTAGGTAGTCAAAGACACGCTCCAGGTAGCATTGTAGTGCCACATTGAGGTGCCTTTTAGCGGATCCCCAGATGGTGGGTTCAAATCCTGGTCAAGGTGCCTGCTATCTGGCAAAGGCTTGCGGCGTTGGTGCTATGTGGCAAAAGATTTTGGCCACTAATAGAGAATTCCAAAGCGGTCTAATTCTAAACCTCTGTTCTTTGTTGGTGTGGGCCAGATGCCCTTGTTGGTTGAGCACATGAAAGCACCCCTTGTTTCAATATTCTTGCAGAAGCTAACTCTAAGTTTCTGAAGCACGGAAGGCACCAGAAATGGCCACCTGCTAAACGCCCGTGCCGCCAACGAACTGTGCATGCTTGCAGGCATTGCGTGTCAACGTGCTACGAGTCGCCTCGCAGGACTGCTCTGTGGCCTCGGCCTGTGCACGCGTAATCTCCAAGGCGTCGCAAGAAAAGAAAAAGGCAAAAGAGAATGACTTGGCCTCACTTGGGAAAAATGCAATTCTACATACAGTCGACTCTCATTATTTCAAACTCCAAGAAGCCACAGTTTTTAGTTTGAATTATCAGAAATTCATCTAAATATGATGAAAGGCAAAGTAGCAATTTGCTATAGGAATAGCTACACATAGCAAGCACATTCTTTTTACACTTTATAGGCAGGCACACACGTAAAACACTGGTAAAGTTCAAAGCGAGTAGTGGTTTTGGCCAAATATTTTCTAATCAAATATCAAAAAGTTTCTCCGAACCCTTTGGTACCGTTGTAAACAAAAATTCAGCTGAACTCGTGAAGGTTGTCCCCAACCTTGCACTTGTCCACTTCTAAGTTCAGTTAGTTTGAATATAGCTATATCCGTGAACTGTGGCTTTAGAAAGTACAGTGCCTACCTTGGGGTGGCATGTAGATGACAGATTTGACATAAAATTAATTTCAAAGAGATGCCCAGCTATCCTAATCGAAGGAAGTTTATAAATCTGCTTTCTATATACTGTAAACGACTTAATTTTCGCGGATTTCTCAACTTCTACAATATCACGAAAAATAGGTCCCGCGAATATGTTTTTCTATGGTAAGAAATGCATAGCATACCACCCTTATCCGCGAAATTTCGGGCCCGCGAAATATTCCTAAAAACCTCACTTCGCCAAATTTGCGAAATATTGAGCCCGCGAAAATAAAGTCGTTTACGGTATTTCTTTTATTCTTGAATTTCACCCTCTCAGAAAAAAAACAAGCATGAACGATGAAAGCAGATTGTCAGGACAGTACTGCTTGCAGAATCACAGTGGGTTTGTCCCATCGAGTTCACTTCTCACCGAGCACTCGCATACTGCAGAAAAGCAATGCCCGCGAGCTTCGCAGATATTGCTTCCCCACAGTGCACAGGTGCTCGGTGATGAACAAATAGTATGAATTAAGCGAAAACGCTGTTTGAACTAAGCAGCTTAAAAATGCATTGAAAACATAGTGGGACAACCAAAATTTTAAAATTCTATCGAATGAACTGGAAGTACGAAACACCCGAGTTTTAATTATCTCGACTTCACTGTATAATGGTTTGACCAAAGATTTAAAAAATAGCTGAAATTTTAATTTTTCACTATTGTTTTTCTTTTTTTTTTACTTTTACTGTTGCACGGGCACAGCCTTGACATTAGTGACCTGGTAATGCATCATATTTTCCTGACCACAGTCACACCCAGAGAATAGTCCGAACGCAGTGCGTAATCCGCACCTAGCGCCTAGATTGGGGATAAAACATTCTTATAAACAGCACACCTTAACAAGTGCCTGCTTCCTTAGCTCACAAAGAAGCTTGCATCATACATAAATCATCATTGACATACTCTCTCATTGACAATACCTGTCACATCTCATATAGTGAATGATCTAGACAAAAACAAATTTTCGTATAGTGCACACTGCATAAAATTCCAACTTTTAAATGTCTGCGGACCAGAGTGGGGAAAATATGTCAGATGCGGAATATTCAAACCAAAATATTAGAGGCGGTGTGTTTTCATCATCTCTACCCTTACCCAGTCAGCCAAGGGTGCACTTAGTTCAATGCAAGGGGAGAGTTTACCATTTTCTTTTTGCACATCATCCTTTCTTTTTTGGCTTGAAAACCTTTTGACAATATCATAAATTACCATTTCTCATAGGCGTGTATGTTTCATCTTGCAAATACCGTAAAACTTGCGCTCTAGTGAAATGCAGTTCCTGGGTCACCTCGTAGATGCCGCCAGCATGCCAGTGAGTCCTCTTGTCTTAAGAGATCGCCAGAACTCGGCTTTAAGCAAACGTAAATATGTGGGCAGGCCTTTACACTTGGCTCGATGCAAGGGGAGAGATAACACCATGGGGAATGTTTTCACAAGTGTTCAAGTTGGATGTTTGTCACTTGAAACCACCTGCAAATCAACACCTTTCTTGCTTCTGAAACCGCTCTAAAATGCTCGAGCGAGCCTGGGGGCAGGGAAAGAGCTTGCAAGGCTGAAGTCGTCCCCGTCCCGTCCCCCCCCTCCCTCCCCCTCTCCCCTCCCCCCCCCCCCTTTGAAATCTCTCGGAACTGACTGCCACTAATTAATGTAAGCGAAAAAGGTTTGTGTGGAAAATGTGTACCGATTCACAACTAGAGCTGTCATAACGAAAAAAACGCTTAGACATGTGTTTTACAGGATGGATTCATACATAATGTACAGCTTTATTCTCTTGCCTTGGAACCTGTCCAGCTAGAGATCACTCTGTCCAGGAACATAGGAATCTTCCACCCTCCTGAAGACAGCCAGGAACTTTTCTCCAGAGTTTCTCGTGACCTTCTTGCCTTCCTCCGTGCTTTCGTACAGCTTTTCAACGACAATGTCTTCTTTCTACACCAGGAGGAAAGAAATTGATTATGAATATTTGCAGGAAAGCAGCAAAAGACAGATAACAACTACATTTGCCCGAGTTCACATCTTGTGGTTTCAAACAACTTGGTCACCGATCAAAACAAATTGAATCGGGAAAAACCTGGTCAGCAAAAATCACACTTTAAGATACATAGGTGCAGACACTGCGCGCATCGCAGCTGCCAGATAGTCCTCCTCGATTTGGTTGCGAGCGGCACCACCAGACGACTCTGATCGATGGCTAGTGGTAGCCTGCCGCTCGCCAGGTTTCCCATGTCCCTCTATGGGAGACATGCTTCTTTTTAAGTCGTTTTCTGTGCAAGCGAAATCATGTAGAACTTGGCACTTGTGCTACGCATATTGCTCAGACATAGCTTTGTCATTGACCCTAGTTTCGTGCCTCAATGCCGCCAAGAACAATTCTATGACTGTGTTAAAACGGAGAGTGCTCTGTCACAGCATTCAAGCCAGCGTCCGTGCTGTGCACACAGCAGACGTGCCAAGTGGAAAGTGCGGGCTCCCGGGTGCAATGGCAACGCAATACTGTTTTGTTTTAGAGTGCAGCTCTTAGGTGCCAGTTTCCGGCTTCAGCGGCGCCGCCGTCGGCGTTGGCGTCGCCGTAACCGTGCGGTGCATTATGGGAAATGTCCCATAATGCACCGCATAATGCATGTGACCCCCCCCCTCCCCCAGGTCACGTGACCCCTCAGTATTGTTCCCCTCAGTACCCTTCCCTCCTCCTCAAGAGCTGCACTCCAATTGGGCATTACAGGCTTTCTTTCTCCCACAGTTGCACCGTCTAATCGGCGGAGACGTTGCCGGCAGTGGTTGCTCGGAAACGCTCCAATATTACTTTATTTGGTCAATCGTGTTGCAGCATTCGCCGTGTTTTGTCCTCACCTAAAGAGTGTTTTACACTGTGGTTAAAATACATAAAAAAAAAAGAAAAAAGTGAACAGACTGTTTTTACTACACCATGTGCACAATAGAAGCCAAATAAAGTGTAGGAAAACTAGGCATTGCCACCAAATGAGTTGTTGCTCGTGATCAGACATCTCGTTAAAGGGTCTGTGAAACAATGTTTGGATTTTGGTCAAATAAATTGTGGGATTGTTACATGTCACGTCCGGAGCAAAGAACTGGGGGGCTATGTTCGACAAATGTTTCGTTTCTCTTAAAAAAAAAACGACATTTACAATCCCCTGTAATGGCGAATTAGAGCACAGCTCTTAAGAAGGAGGGAAAGGTACGGAGAGGAGGGAATGCCCCTCCTCCTCCTCCTCCAGAAATTTTCGCTAAATTCCCCGCTAAATTTAGCTGAAAAAAGTCCCCACTAAATTACGCGTGTAATTTTTTTCGCTAAATTTAGCAGGGAAGGTTTTCCACTAAATTTAGCAGGGAAGGTTTTCCCCTCAATTTAGCAGGGAAATTTTTCCGCTAAATTTAGTGGGGAAATTTACCTATAATGAAATGCACGGTGACGTCTATATGATAACTGTTCCATAATGCAACGCGCGGTTACGCCGACGGCAACATCACTCAAGCCGGAAACGGGCGTCTAAGAGCTGCACTCTAAAAGAAATGAAGTGATGGAAGTGACAATAGAGCATCCGATTAGTTAGAAGCTCAAATGACCAAAGTTCCCCCTTTCTTCATTTGAGCCTTTAGCCAATCGGACACGATATCGTCACTTCCGTTTCTTTCTAAAAGAAATGAAACATTTGTCGAGCATAGCCCCCCTGAAGACCAAGTTTGCCTGTGCGTTAGTTCTTTAAAAAAAAATATAGTCGAACAACTGATGTTTTGTGTGCCTTCCAACCACACTCGACTCTTGCACTGTCTTCCGAATCACATGCGCAGTGATGTGTTTCTGGGTGCACGGGAACATGTCTATGCACACGTGTATCCATGTGTGCAGTATCTACAGCCTCCAGAATGCATGGCCTCTGCTTTGGTTCACATGGCGACTTTGAAGATGGGTTTGAGCGATGTGGACAGGGAAAGAAGCGCTTGCCTTGTCGTAAGGAAGTTGGACTGACATTTTTAGCAACAGGGTGAGGCTCAAGAGAAGAATGGTTTTCTTCACATGGGGCAGACGGCGCCAGTAAAACTGAATATAGTACAATTTTGTCGATGATATGAGGCTGCATCAGTAGTGACAGATGGGCCAGTTGATACATGACTTATTTTCACAAAATGCGCTGCAAGACAAGGAGAGAGTAAGTGAGAGACAACACGAAGCGCTTCACCAAATGCGCCGCAAGACAAGCGCGCTTCATGTACTCTCACTTACTCTGTCCTCGTCTTGCGGCGCATTTTGTGAAAATATGAGGCTGGTTCGAGGTTGTTTTTTTTTTTTATTGGGTCCTTGTCGACCTCGTTGTGACAGAGAGGAACCGCTACGCAGTCCCGCATTTCGCAGCGCGGGGTCCTTCATGGAAACCGGTGGACCGCAAAGAGATGATGGTGTTCTTTGCGCTAATAATTTTGCAAGGAATCGCTAGGCAAACCGCAAGTTGAGATGTATTGGTCAACAAAAGAAGTCTTGGCGACGCCGGTGTTTAGCAAAGCAATGAGCAGGAACCGCTTCCAGGCACTGATGTGCTGCCTTCACTTTACCAGCCTGACGACCGGACGAAGCAACCCACCCGAACCTGAAGCTGCGAAAGCTGTGGGCTGAATGAGGCCCTCCTCGCAACCTATGTGCCGGAGAAGGACGTGGCCGTCGATGAGTCTCCTGCTATTCAAAGGAAGACTGGTGTAGAAGCAATATGTACCACTCAAACGTGCAGGGTTTGGTCTGAAATTCTTCCTACTGTGCAAATCCTGCAGCGATTACGTCTGCAATTTGATTCTCTACACTGGAAAGGGGATGGTAGATGTGGATGGCAAAGAGGCGATGGGCACCAAGGTGGTGATGGAACTCATGAAGCCCTTTCTTGACAAGGGGTACACCTTGACGATTGACAACTACTACAACTCGCCCGGGCTAGCCAACATGACGTCTATGGAACAGCTCGTCCTGGAAGAAAAGAAATGCCCAAGTCCAAAAACATAAAGTTGAACAAAGGCGAGGTTGCCGCCTTTCAATGCGGGAAATATCTCGCTATGCAATGGAGAGACAAAAAGCTTGTAAACTTCCTAGGCACGGTTCACTCGCCAACAATGCAAGATGTTGTCAACTCGAAGAACAAGAAGTGCCAAAGCCTACAATCGCTCTCGACTACAACAACACAATGGGTGGCATCAACCACTCAGACCAGAACATGTCTTACTATCCATCACGACGCAAAGGGCAAAATGTTTACTACAAGAAACTGTTTCGCCACCTTCTTGACATGTCCATCTTCAATGCCTTTTGTCTATACAAGAAGCAAGGTGGAACATTGAGCCATCTGGATTTCCGCGTCCGACTTGTAGAGTTACTGCTTCAACGCTACCTCGACAGTGAAGGATGACCAGGACCAGGCCGCAGATCTGACTACGCCCCGACGGGACTCAAGGGCCGTTACTTCCCTAGAAAAATCCCGCCAACTCCAAAAAAGCAGTAGCCGACACGGAGATGCGTTGTGTGCACACATGCCTATTCAAACAAATCGGGAAAGAAGCCACGCAAAGAAACGAGGACATGGTGCAAGGACTGCAAAGTAAGGCTTTCTGCGATGCCCTGCTTTGAAATCTACCACACCAAAGTTGACTTCTAAACTTACCGAACTTTGTTAGCACTAGTACAAAGAAACGTCTAGGCACTTATCTTTTGTTACGGTGCGTATGTTCAAAAATATACTGCACATTTCAGCACGTGTTAATCCATTACTCTTACATGCACTGAGGGAAAGCTTCCATAATAATCAACTTTTTCTTTTAAAGGTTTTGTGTTAATACCAATCAGAAACCAATCAAGTAATGTATTTGCAAAATCAGAACAACATAAGAAAAAATATGTGCAAATAAAAAAAATTTGGGAAAGTTTGTACATTTTTTTGTACATTTTTTTTCGAAAATAACTTAAGGGTTAAAGGGGTACAGAATGGAAACTTGAAATACCCCCAAAACACTTCGAAATGGGTGAAATATGATATATGATATCCGTAAATGATAATCACACGCTTGTATTTTCAGCAGATGGCTGTATTTTTTGTTCCAACCGAGTATCCTGGCGAGCTCTTCAAAACCGGCCATCGAGGCGGCACGATGCGTCTCGGGATATTTGCCCGTGACGTCGTGCTTGGAACGTCGTAAGCCCATAAACGGCCAGGGATGCCGTAATTACGACCTTTGTCGCTAAGTGGCACCAGTTTCATTGTTAACGCGTTACAATCCTCCAAGGTGGAATCCGAGGTATGGTGTACTAGAACCGAGAGGTGTGCCAGGTGCCGCTGGTTCTCGACTGCCTCCATCGGAGAAGCCGCGCCGTGGAGCTGCTACTTATGGGCCCCCCAACTACCAGGTAGTATTGGGAAATTGTTTTCATTAATTTTAAAATTGCTTTTCTTGCACTTACGTACAAAAGACTGGTGTTTGTGAGCTGCTGTCATGAAGGGACCATGTCTACACAAAGAAATAGGTGCAAAAACTGACACCCCCTCAAAACTGTTTTATTTTTTTGCCAGGCGATTTTTGCTACAGAGTCAATATTTTGCTACAGAGTCACATATATTTTTAATAAAGCAAAAAGCAAAAAAAAAACTCAACTGTTTGAAACAAACATGAGCATGGAGAGATGCCAGAAGTCACGTGGCTGCAACTGACCCCATTTCGTTCGCGCTCCAAGACAGCGGCCAAGCGTTCCGATCCGCGGCCGTTATCACAGCCATCGGGGAATGGAGATCACAGGAATCCCTACAGCTCTCATATGTCGTGTTCAAATAAAGACCTCGGCGAGCATAAATACCCTGTCATATCCCTTTAAATGCCACTAACGAAACACGATGGCTCAAATCCAGTGCATACGTCTGCGTGGGCAATAATTTCTATCCGTTGTATATTTTCCAGCCGACATAAAATTCCGCTTTAACATGTTTGCAGGAGGGGAAAAAATCTCTAAAATGTGGACCGTACCATGGAACTGTCCTAAAGAAAAGGCACATGCTCCAATCATAAAGAGAGGTGGCAGATTTGTTGACAGACTCTATTGGAGCTGCTTGGTTAGCCAGATTGCACTTGGTTGGCCAATCTTTAAGCAGAGCCTCTTTCCAGTTTAAAACAATATTTTTGGCTGTTTGCGTTTATCTAGTGAGGTATGACTGCTAGCTCGGAATCTTTAACGTGCATCACACAGCAGTGATACACGACCACACGCCGGTACGATGCTGATCCAGATCAAAACGGGCAAGGTTGGGAATTGAAGCTAGGGTACCTCAATTCAGCAGCACGAGCTTTCGCTTAACATGCTCAGCTGCAGTCGAACCACTTTGGCTAACTCTAAAATTTTCTAGAAACTATGGGAGGGCATCTACTCCATGGCAGTTTGATTTGCGACTGAACAGAAACGACAACAAATTTCGCCACTCCGAAAAACACGATTCACTGTCAAGAAAATGTGACACACTCCACTTGCTCTAGTTTCAATCTGAGGCTAACAGGTTCACCAGAATGGAGATGCGTGCATTCATTTATGAGGAATGCCGGAAGTTCAAACCCAGCACGTTTTTGGTCGACACTATCGAATGAGTGCAGTGATTAAGGAGCACCATGTGACCTTCCTTCAAGGCAGGCACGAGCAGAAAAGAGGAGACCACTCCTCCTTCCTGCAGAAATCAGTATAAATACTTTATTAGGATAATATGTTCTATTTCGCTCATTTGCATTAGACGATGTGCCTACAGTGCCGAATGCTCCCCTATTGGTGGGAACCCCCCTTCCAAGAGAATGCACGCGCTTCGCGCTGTTCATGGTTTCGAGCTGTCCACGCTTTTGTACTGCGCCGAGAGAGAAGGCTGCCGCCGACGCATCGAGATACCGTATTCGCCAAGACGGCAAAGATGGCCGTCTCCGCTGTCTCTAAAGGTGTTCATGATGGTCGCAGCCACGCCTCATAAAGGGGAAAACCACAAGGCTGCACGCATCCAGCCATTCAAACTACGCAAGCTGTCGATGCTGAGGCCGGTGGATTTTCGTGGAGAAAAATGTATTCCCTAGTAAAGCATTTGGCACTGGCTTCCAGATCCATTCCTTTTAGGAAGAGTGGAAGGAAGATAGAAAGAGGGAACAGACAGAAGGACATTGGTGAAGGGTCTTCTGCCTGGGAAAAGGCGCTGCCTGCATGTCGGGCCGAAGCAGATTTCGCTGCAGAAATTCTCCGTTTCCCAGTGCTACAGCCAACCGTCGGGTTTAACAATGGGATCGGCGTTCTCTCAACATTGTGTTGTTGCTTTTGAAAGCCTTCGGGATGCCTTTGACGCGGTCTTCCGGGAAATCCTGCCAAGCTAAACTTGCCAACGATGTAAGGAAACTGGTTACAATCTACCCTTTTCTGAAATTGAATTTTACTTAGCAGCTCACACAGCAGTCTAACTTCCTTCGTATACATTCAGGGATGGGCAGTATCGCAATTCAAATGTATCGCTCTCGTAATTCAGACATACATTTCATATTTGCGATGGAATTTTGAAATGTATTTTGTTTTCCTGTAATGCAATAGATTTTTGGGCGTAGTATATTCCTAGTGTCATTGTGTTATTAGTGACAAATATATCTCGTTGCCCTCCAAACAGAACTTCGAGCAGACACTTTTCTTCTTTTTACTTGAAAGGGGTGAAGGGGACGCCGAGGTTTTGTTATCGTGCAGAATCCCGGTATATGAATCCCTTCATTTAAGAACACCATTTCTAAAAACCAATGATTTCAGTTTTTTTTTTAGGTGTGCACTTATTTATATAGAGCTTTTGTGGAAGACTTAGCAAGATGGAGAATACTCACTAAATCTTCGTCTGAAACTCTTTCAAACAGTGGGTGCTCGTCGAGATGCGACACCATCCATTCATGGAGTTCTCTCACATCCGTGATGGTGTAGAGAAGGCCCTGAAAAAAAAGAATAAAAAACAAAACAATTGCAATCCCAAGTTTTGGACTGGTCGCCCATCGACAGTTGCTGCTCGCCCGAATTTCAGCAGCTCGATTATTCAGGGTTTTTTGCAAGACCACAATACAAGCCCAGGCTAAGTAAGCTGCCAGTCTATAAGGGTGTCGAATTTCGCTCAACAGCTCTCATTGTGAATCAGAAAAAAGAAAAAAAGCTGCGGGAAATTCAAATTGACAGTTTAACTGAAGTTCAAGTGTTAGAAATATGTTTGAGGTAGTTTTTGGAGGGTTGGCAGTCCACACTGATGAGTGTTGTACAGCTTGCTGCGCCAAGAAATCTTATCTACAGCGTAAAATAACTTAAAAATTTCAATACATCATACTTTCTTTTCAAAAAAGTTCTGGTCAGTTACTTATTTGATTTTTATGATGTCTACAAAGGCTGGTTCACGTGCCTGCGATTCCTTATGACCGAGTGCCTTAAAACCTCTTTAGATTTCTTATGACGAGAAACCACACTGGCGCCATCTGTTAGGTAGCCATGTAACTCTTGGGGTTTCCATCTATATAGGGTGTGTCCAAAAAATTTACAAGGTTTTCTTCACTGCAAAAATAACCTATGCATCGCTGAACGTGCATTGCCCACCCAAGGGTAGCGCTAGAGGCCCGAACCAGGTGCCAAAGTTTCAGCAGAAACAGATATTTCATTCGAAAGTTACGAGTGGTTTTCTGAAAATTTCAATGGGAAAATGGGGGTCCATATTTGTCAGTTTTCGGTTTGCGGCGCCACAGAGCTCCATGTATTTGAGAGCACTTTCTGCCACCATTTTCCCATCGAAATTTTCAGAAAATCGCTCGTAACTTTTGAATAGGATGTCAGTTCGTGCCAAAACTTGGGCATCCGGTTTGGACCTCTAGTTCTACCTTTTGGCAAAGATGAGCATTCAGCGATGCATAAGCATCGCTGAATGCTCATCTTTGCCAAAAGGTAGAACTTTTTCTTTAGGTGAAAACAACCCTGGAAATTCTTTGGGGGGACACCTCATATTTCCCATTTGTTTTTCTGCATAATATTTTTGGGGGAGAGGCTCGAAAAACTTTTGACAATGGTATAAAAGACCATTTCTCAAAAATAGTATATACACATTTGAATTTACAAATACTGTGAAACCTTTGTTGTAGTGCATGGCTGGCCAGAGTGACATGGAATTGGAGCTGCAGACAAAACTGCAAAAGTTCAAAAAGCCGCAGAAGAAGAAAAAAAGAAGGGGGAATACTTTAAACAAGACACAATATGGGGCGAACAGTCCCTTTCAAGGGGGACAAGTTGCCGACTGCAACGAATAACACCAGGCACCAGAACGTTTCTTCAACTGCTAAACAAAAATGATAGCCAGTCACTGCCCCCCGATGCCCGTTATGCATATACAGTTCGAAATGGTTTCTGGAATAATAAAGGAAACAGGGTAAGTGGACACGTCTATGTGTCAAAAAGGCAGTCCAGCTGTATGTACGTAGTGTAGTACAAGGCTACCAAAACACTGAGCTGCTTTTTTTCCTTTGTAAATTCCGAAATTCTTTTTGTTTTGGGGACCCAGGAGTGGAAGAGGGGCACGCTTACTGGGAAGCCGCAAGCCGCACTTGGACCCGCGAAGAGCCGCATGCGGCTTGCGAGCCACACTTTGGTCACCCGTTCTAGTGAAATACAGTTACAGGGCCGCCTCGTAGACGGCGCCGGCATGCCAATGTGCTCTGTCATCGTAAGAGATAACAAGAACTCGGTCGCAAGCAAAAGAAACTGCAAATGGGTTTTTAATCAGTTTCAAGGGACATACTTCAGTCTCAAAATTTCGCCGGAATCCATGCTGAGAACGTTTGCGGCATTTGTATCTCTGCCCGGAGGCAGTATTTCCCAGCTCGCTCAAGCTAGCTTGGATTGTGACCGCCAGTAGTCGGTGACATAACGAACACTTGGCCGGTACTCTACTTTTACATGTGTCATACATTCTTCAGAGTCGTGACAAGTCGTCGGACGAGTGGCTGGTTCGTCAGCAGCCAAAATTACCCGGCCGCCGGGGCGACTCAAAAGGAACAAAAGAACAATACAAGAGCAGGTCTATCCGAAACAAATATATCCCATATCGCGATTCTTGAGTAGTGTTGTCGTCCAGCCACTATCATGCTTCTGCGTACCCAAGCGAGTACCGTATTTTCCCGGCTAAAGTCCACACCTGGTCTGTAGTCGCAGGGGCAACATTTGGAGCCAAGAAAAGTCTTCGCTTAGATAGTCGGCACGCCATGCACTTAGCACCTGATCCGAACAAAAAAAATTATCACACGCACCACACCTTGACAAATGCTTGCTGTATTAGCTTGCAAAGAAGCTTGTACCATACATAAATCAACATTTATATACCACTGTTATTCATGAAATTCTCCACATCTTATCACAACAAACGATCTAGAAAAAAAACAAAAACATTCTTGTACATTTTGCACAGGGTAACATGTCAACATTTTAAACATGTATGGTCTGTAAACTGTAGCCCGGAAAATCTGGTACCTCTAGTTAAGCGAGAAGAGAATCATTTGCAATATGGAAGTTTAAGTCAGGGGTACTCAAATTTCTTAATCTTGACAAATTCCCATCTTTTCTGATGGTTAGCCAAGGATGCCCCCCTATTTTGAGTGCTGGTGCAATAAAGCAGTGCAGAAGCCTACAGACCTTGTAAGCAATAGTGTGCATGCCAGGGAACGCCTGGCACATAGTCATGCATCAATGGATGGCTCAGTTCTGCTAAAATGGCGCTTAAAAGGCAACTCCACTCAATTCCAAAAATTTCGAAATTTCAGGCGACAGTGGCCTTGGGCCGCCAGAAACATGGCTACCACGTGGAACGACTCGTCATGTGATTTTCTACACGACGACAGGTGGCAACAGCATCAGTCTGCGCACGTAGCGTGAATGAAACTCCAAAGGCAATAATCAGAAGCAGTGAGACAGCGACGGTGGTTGTGACGGGGGAGACGGCTGTAATGGCAGGACAGCTGGACGGCTCCCAAGGCCAAGAAGCATGCTGCACAGGCGCGTTACGCCATACACGTGGACACTACCAAGCGCCGAGAGGAGATGCTGCTGACGTTGCCCGTTGCGCTTGCCCGAAGAAGTAAAACAATAAAAAAGGAGCAATGTTGACAATGTCTAGCTCAATGTTGGCTGCGCCAACGTCGTAACCTTAACTGGGCTGTTGATCGCCCTTCGATTCGCCCGCTAGAGTTGGCCGATTGCGGCAACTTCGCCTGTTCCCAAGTTTGCAAAAACGTTTTAAGAAACATTTAGACAGAACTAAGTCGTAATATTTGATGTGTGGTCTTCCTTGGTGATATACTGAAGGGGACTGCATTGTTTTTTAAAAAAAAAATGAAGCAGAATTTTTTTGAAACTGGGAGAACCCTTTGTAAGGTACTTAGAGGCAGAGACGACCAAAAATATTTATGAGTTCGGGAAACCCCCAACGGTACTCTAGGGAGTCCCTAAGTCTCTAGAAACCCAGTCCGAGAGCCCATGGTTCAGGCTACTTATTTCGGTCATAACACGTATCTGGTAGCATTTACAACTTATATCCCAACATTTCTGACGTCAAAACAGAAGTGAACAGGACCGCAAAGAACGAAGCAATGAAACACCACATCACTTCGTATTCAATGAACCAGACCAAACGGCGTTCTGCGACTGGTTGTGTGTGCATTCTAAGGAAATAGTAAGTGCAGTGCATGAGGGTGTTTTTTCCGCCATGTTTCGTGTAGGTTGTTTAGAACAGAGGTCTCCTAACCCCAGCCTACGGGACAGATCCAGCCCACGGAGGTCTTTCAACCGGCCCGCAGCTGGCCGCGGTCTTGCCGATGAAGCCCTGCCCGCAACTCGCTCCCAGCAGACCAGCTGCCACTGGCACAAAATTAAGTGCATGTAAAGAAATAGCCCCGCGACGTGCTCCAAATGTGCAAACGAAGATACCAAGAACGAGAGAAACTGCATTGTAACGTGGGTCTTCTGGCCATATTATTAACTGAACATCGTCACAACACCATTCTTAGTCCCCGTGCTTCGTGTCTCTGTATCTATGTAAACATTTCTTTGCATTCTCATGTATATTGTGCTTAGTGTCCTTTGTCACAACTATTGCATATTGTCAGCATGACTTTTATCATTCTCATTAGTCTTTTGTGCTGGGCGAATGTGCCGAATTTCTCATGCGCTTTGATTTATGCTTGCTGAATTTTCTTAGTCACAATTTTTGTGTAAGGTCATAATTAGATCAATATTAAATTTCAAATTGAAGAATTGAAGTTAAGTATATGCATTCATTCCACTTAGGTGTTTTTAGTACTTACCTACTCTAACAATATGTGTTGCAATGCTTATCTAGGTTTGTTTATTTAGTATTACTCTTTTCTTTTTCCGGCCCTCGAGTCTGCAGCAGATTCCTAATCCGGCCCCTTAGCCAGAACGTTTGGAGACCCCGATTAAGAACAACACGCTGTTCTCAACCTTCTAAATAAATTTGTATCAAGTTCAGAATGTTGCAATCTATGTTTAGCATAGCCAATTTGTGCAATAATAGCTGATGGTGAGCCATATGAAATGCTTTGGAAAAATCAAATATAACACACAGTCAACATATTACCTGTCATCTAATGATCTGGATATCTGATAATAAATTTATACTAACTGTTTATTGTAAGAATACCCGTTACAAAAACTGTGCTGTGAGAGAAAAGAACTGTCTCAAATCCAAGAAGGGGTGAAGGTTACTATTAGCAATGTGCAAAACAGTTTGCACGAGATTGATGTTATAAAAGAAGGAAATAATTTTCAACATAGGCCTTAAATCCAGATTTAAATACAGGTGTGATGCTTGCCATCTTCCAATCCATTGGAACCATTCCTGCTTTCAAAGATTCACTGAATATAACAAAATGATACCGTGCTACAGATTCGCTACACTTAAGAAAGATAAGAGTTCCAGGCTTATTTGACATTTGATGTTCCGAGCTTATCTGACATTTGATGTTCCGAGCTTATCTGACAAATCATTGATGTTGGAGCTAAAGTTTGATGATTCGACATTATCTTGTGACTCGCACGTGCTAGTATCAACAACAAAATCGACTGCAGGCGCCCTCAAACGCTTCCAAGGAGGTGCGTCACGCAATGAAGACTCCATGTTCGCAGCGCACCCTTTCTTGGCTTTGTGTTTAGTTACAATAAATCGCCATCTCATGGGAAAAAAATAACTATATGGAAACTGAAACTAGAGTGCCTAATCTAACCACCAGATGCTGTAATCTGTCCAGAAACGAACCGGAGGCTTTGCAACGAGGCTCGCAAATTGTCAACTGCGGGTGATCGATTTAGACGGGCGCAGTACAGAAAGAGTTAATGGGGTGATCATTAAGAACTAATGACACAAGAAAAACAAAGGGAGTTAACATATACAATTACTAAAAAAAGACGAGAAGAAGTAATGAAAGCTTACAGGCTGAAAGCTATGCACGATGTGAACAAAATGAAAAGCTGGGGACTCAAGCAAGGGTATCATTTGCGCACAACTTTATGTGGCATTTCCAAAGTGAAGAGTGCGCTCAAAATGCGCAAGCGCGACTGAGCCCATAGCTTTGACTGAACAGTCGCAGAAAGTTGTCCGCGAGTACAGTTGGCAACCCGAAAATGAAACATGCCGTGGATAACAAGCAAAAACTAAACGAGGAGTGGGGGTAACCTGTAGACATGACAGAAGTTTGTGTCAGCTGGCGTTAGTTGTGTTCTTGGTTGTGCGATAGCAACATGCCCTTCATCACCATCACTTGATTGTTCCCCACCATCAGTTCACTATCGCATGTTTTATTCTGCTAGTTGTCTCGAGTAAAAGCCATCCTGGCTTTGAACGCGCACTCAAATGGTCCTTCTTTCTGCAGCGTCACCGAGAAAACAACGGCATTGACTCGGCGTTGTCAGCAGCAGAGCAACATATTGCACCAACTGCTACGATGGAATTTCAGGGTAGTCTGCAGTCAACAGGGGAGACTACTTGGACAGTCCCCATCGCAAACAATCCTTTTGTCGTAGCACAGGTTTAAAAATCTAAATGTTCATGGAAAGGCTTTTAGTATTTACCTGAATTCTAAGGACATAGGCATACTCGGCTAGCAGCTGTCGACTGATGATTCGCCACTTGTGCTTCTGCTTCTTGAAGTGTGGGTCGGGGAAGAGGAAGAACATCTTTGAAAGCTGCAATGAGCACACGGGGCACAGTTTCGTCAAGAGTACAGGGCATGACACGGTTAACGGGAACAAGGAACTGGCTGGCTTTCCTGTCCAACTCTCATAATGAGAGTCTGTCATCTAAACTAATATTGGTTTTAGCATCGAGAAAGGTTGCAATGGCGGCAGAGGCTTCAACGTACAAAGGGTTCGGGAAGAGATTTCCTGCTTGAAGAACCGAAACCTCTCCCAGATATGTTTGTTGAATAATGGATCTGCTGCTGTACTAGTACAAACCTATCTCTACATTTATGAACTTGTTGGTGAACAATATTTATCAGCACATTTAATATTGTGCTAGAATGTGCTCTTCATATGTGCTCCACCAACATAGAATGTGCTCTACCAACCTAGGGGGTCAAAATATGTCCGAGTAAACAGCAAGAAAGCACCAATGTTGTCTTTGTGCCAACTGTTTCATGCAGTGTACTACATCCTTTACGACACATTTTCAGTCAATTCGGTTCTAATCTAGGACCATTGCATCAAAATTTTGGTTGAACTATTACGACATCCATAAGTATGCAGTCCAAAACAAGTAGCGATTCTTGTTCTCTGACATAAAGAATAATTGAGTGAACAATAAAAGTCTGGAGCTGGCACCTTCTTGTTTCAGGTGGATCATCCTGAAACACTGTTTTGACTTTTAAAACCTGTGTGACCTTTGAAAACTGAAAAATGAATTGCATAGTATATAATTATAGAAGACAAAGAGGAGTGTAACTTCCCACAAGGGATGTGCTTGTCAAATGATGTGCTTATCATTTTTTAGTATGCCATCAATGATGGTTAGCAAAATTCAATACTTTTAAATGAAAGAAATATTAATGTTTATGAAGTGAGTGTGCTGCACATGGGTCATAGGTAAAATAATTATGTTTGTGTTCCCACCTCCATAAATTTCTATCTTTCAAGCTGCTCTTTTTGTGACTGACAATAAAATAGTATGATGGCAAATAAAACATAGACAAGGGACACTAAAAGAAAGACATTGAATATGCTTATGTCTGAATTGAGCTTTGCGTTTCTTCCTTTCTGCATTTCGTTTCGTATTTATGAAGCTCCAACAAGTTGCTTCCAGCATATACCGTCTATTCTAATGCTGATGTATACAGACCGGACAGAAAAGTTTGTTTCGAAGGGTAACTCCATCTCATGCAGAATTTTTGCAACACTGAGGTGGCCCGTGGCAACAATCCTTGGACCCGATCTTGAGCTCGAATGCACCAATGTCCCGCCAATCTGTGATGCAGTGCCCGCACTCAATCGTTGGGGGGCACAACCTTCCCAATGTTGCCCTTTTCAGCCACCGCACTGGCCGCACTGGTACCAGCCGACAGGGGCGTCTGTTATTCACTGCTCTGGGGCTATGCGGAGCACAAGTTTGTCTGCTTCTTGCGTGGAGATTGCACTGACATCAGAATGCCAAACCCTGATTGGCTCTGATGAAGGGATAATAGATAGATCTCAATGCTAGCTGCCCTGAGGTCTACCCACTATCCTTCCAATAGGAACCAATCAGAGCTCGGCAATCCAACGTCGCCGCAACCCCCGCTCAAGAAGCAGTCAGACTTGCGCTCCGCATACTCTTGACCCATGTAGTTCACAACACTGACCTCCAACTAGCGTATGGACACTGTGAAGCCCCTAGCGTCAAATGCAGCGCCCTCCAACCTGAGAGTCTGATGCTCACGTGGCAGAGTGATCGCAGGGCCTGTTTCAGCTATGAACCAATGCCAAGGTGGAAGCTGCAAATAACCAGCTCCCCTAGTTAGAGACGAGTCCTCCATGTACGCACACTAAAAAAGGTTTCTGAAATTATGCACTGTCAAGTGCATTAAAAATTTGCCCCTTTCCTGCACTATTATAGCAAAGGCAGAGGTAACACAGAATGCATTGTGTGTTGCTTCGCAATGATGTTGCACTGTGGAATTTGGTCGAATCTTATGCCTCGACAGTGCAAACATCGCCTTGTGCAGCGTCTCTGAAACAAAAGCCCTGTCAGTGCTCCAGCAGGAAACCCAAGTTTGTGTCTCTCGCACCCCACTTTTGGCATCGCTATTTCACGACTCACTGTTTAGTCCAGCGCACATGCTTGTTTTTCTGCCTCTTGCACATTGCTCTTGCACACTACACCTCCTAGATAAAGGCTCATTTATGCGGTACCATTCCACTATGTAAAGACTCGTTCGCACGGCACCATCTGCTTACGTCCGGGACATTCGGCTTCGTATTTAGCACGCCAAGCTAACCCTCGAACTGCTTGCCACTCTTTGTACAAGGCACAGATGTCGCAGTGACTTGCAGCATAAGCAGACGTAAGCCCCCACGAAACAATGTCAATACACAGGGGATATCGAAAAGATTTCTCTGCAGAGAAATCTCTTTGCAGAGAGATATGTGTGACGAAAACGTCACACAAATCAAAGCGGCGCGGGGATGTCGGCAATGTGGCGAAGAGTGGAACGAATGCTCGGACAATACAAACAATCCTTGTTCAATGATGGATCAGTTTGCTTTTAACAATATTTTGTCACTGAAAGCTTTAGTGTAGAGTGTAGAAAGCACCAAATTTGTCTACAGACACATCAAAAGTAGAAACCACTGACCGCTAACGTTGACGTCCCTCTCATCACACCTCTTCCGCGTGAACGGCGAAGCCGAGGAGGGAATCGTAGCCGCTGCCGACGTCCTGCACATCCCTCCGTGGAATGTTTTTCCCCGTACGAACACCGCTTAACGCAACGTAAGCAGACGGTACCGTGTGCTCCCTCCCGCAAAGCCCTGGCATAAACACCGCTTCGAATACCTGGCCCTTCCGGAAGAAGTTTGGCAGGTGCTTCATGGCATTGGTGCGGATGCAGGCGACGTTCCCGTACTGGCCCGGGTGCTGGACGCGCAGCGCCTTGATCCGGTCCTGGACGTAGTCTGACACCTTGACCCGGATCTCCATGCCCACCATGTATGTGTCCGGGAACATGGGAGAGAGGGTCACTGAAAAGGAAGAGGCACTTTTAGCAGAGCATGCAGAAGATCACGACAAACGCCAACTTTCAGTGAAACTATGAATTCAAAGGACGACAACACAAAGGGGCGACGCAGACGAAACAATCTTCTGCGCCGTGAATCTGTGCTGTCGTCTTTCGAATTTACGTGGAGAGAAAGTCGTCTGCTTCTTGCGCAGGAATTGCTGTGATGTCGGAACGATGCCGGACTTCAGTTGGCTTCGATTGAAAGGACAGTGGGTGGACATCAATGCTAGATGTCTACCCACTTCTTTTTTTAGATCAGCCAATAAAAGTTTGGCATTCTGACATCATCACAACCCCTGTAGAAGAAGCAGACGAACTTGCGCTCCACATAACATGTACAAGCATGCCGCTAAAACATACTTCTCATGGAAGTTGCTGAAGCCGAGCCAAGATTGTTTTGCGACTTGTGCAGTGGCCAAGGAGCTTAGAGTTCGTTGGAACACAAACTCTGAACACAAACAGCCTACATAAGTGGCCGTTTACAATAAGAAGACGGTGGGAGTGCCTGGACTGGCCAGGGCATCGGTTGTCGTCTTTGTCCCTTGTTCAGTCTTTGAATAGAAATCTTTGTTTCTGTTGGGCTGTTGCCTTACTTTGCCGTTCTGGCGTGCGGCCTGTATCGGCAAATTGCCTCGATTGGCATCGGCGGTGTGGGTCGTTCCGCCTCTCCGAGCGACGACGTGAAAACTACAGCCAAAACCTCGTCTTCGTCACACATTAGATCAAGCCGTATGAGTGTGCTTCGACCTCATCTGACAAAAAATGAGACTGTTTGACTTCGCAAAGTTGCTTTGGCAGTTTGTTTTACTGTACCAAACTGTAGAGCTTCTGGTGTTGATTATTTCAATTATTTGACTTTGATTCTCACTGACTGTGCTGTAAATGTCTTAAATCCAGTGCTACGCTTTGGTTTGCTCAAGTAGATTTTTTAATTTTTTAATGTGCAATATTTTTAAAGTGCTTTTTCCTTGGTCTTTTCTTTCTTAGGATTGCACACCTGATAGTCTTCCAGATGAGGAGTTCTTTTGTCTGTTGCCACATATGGTCGTTTATTGCCTTATTACATTTTTGCCTTGCTTCCTAGGAAGCCTTTACTTGTCGTCGCATCTTTACACGACTCTACACCAGGCATGAAACTATCTCATGTCACCGGTCTAACCTAGCTCTTCTGTCGTTCCAAGTAATTTTTTCTGTCTAGTTAGAATTTTATTTCATTAATTTTTTTTTTTTTTTTTTTTTTCACAGATAGAGTTATTGATAGAACCATTCAATCCCCGACGATTTTTGAAGATATCTATGCACCACCTTCGTGCTAACGGTGGCGACAAGTGTAAATTGGCTGGCCAGCTAAAATGCTGCGGTGGCCACGGTCCAGCCAGAATTTCGACCTTGCGCGAGTGAGTGGCCAACCTTGCTCGAGCCGTTCCATTGAACAGCATGTCGACGAGACATTGTTCATCTATTACAGGCGAGCCACATGCGGCTCTTCGCATGTTAAAGTGCGGCTCGCGGCTCCCTCTCCTACACCCCCCCCCCCCCCCCCCCCACACACACACACACACACACACACACACACACACACACACACACGCACACTTCCCCAAGACAGAAATAGAATGAGTTTTAAATCGAAAGACGGATTGCGGTTTGGTAGTCTTATCTGCTTTTGACTTGGATAGATTGAAAGTAGTTCCGAGTTACGTTTATTGCTCTCAACAAAAGGTGTGCCCTCCCCCCCCCCCCCCCCCCCCCCCCCGCGGCTCTTGGAAGTTTCGTGGTTTTGTTTGCGGCTCTTAGGCTGGGTCAGCCTGGCCACCCCTGATCTATTACCACAATGGCACTCCCATGAGATAAGACCCAGTTAGCATGTTTCATATGACTTGGGTAGGCACTGTAGAGAAGGTTCAAAGTAAACGACCAAACTAAGGCGATGAGGAATGCATGTGCCACTTTTAGATTCGTTTGCACAAATTACTGCCGCAGACACCAGCACGTGCAACTGCAGACTCAGCATGGTCCTTAGCGTTCCAATAATTTAGAAAAATGTCTAAGACAAACCACAGATCACTTTTTCGTGCCAATTATATCGCACCCTGTACGTTCAGCACTAAAAGAAACTAGCACAGAGGCGTAACTTGCCTATGAAAAGCCTACACGCGGCTCCAAGCAAACGCAGCAGCAACAAGATTACCTGGCAGATACATCTTTGTAGCATGGGAAGGTGGGTTCCCAAAGAACGCATCAAAAATGCCGTCGCTCTGCCTCGAGCAATTCCTTCTTCCTTTAGAAGCTTTTTAAGACAATGAACTGGAAAGAATCAGATGACAGTGTCGACGAAAAGAAAAAATTGGTCTTTTCTCCAACTGCCACCACAAAGGCAGTCGTCATAACACATGACACGACTCAACATCGATCTACACGCGATCGCATGTAGCTCGATTCCTGGAGTCATGGTAACCCTGGCACCACAACTCCAGGAACGAGACGTACCAAAACGGAGAAGACTAAGGAGTCATACTGTGCTATGGCTCCTTTGTGATTGGCCCAACCAAAAAAGCGCACCAAAGCTAAAAAAAGTCTGCGCACTTGGCAGAAACGTTGAATGTTCGAAGAAGCTTGACCGTTCAGTGTGCGCTAGGAATAAAGCGCATTGCTGTGGTCGCTTTATGCTTGATCACATGATGTGACCCCCGGGAATAACTTGGATCTACTTGAGCAAGAATTGGCTGGCACTAACATCCTATCAGCAAAGGAGACGAGCGCTGCGTCAGCATTTGGCTGACACTCGTGGTTCAATCAGCGTGGTAGGCTCCAGCCGTCAATTATTTGTGGTAGTCTCTATTACTGCCGAGTGAAAGTGCAGGACTAGCATTACCTAGAAGACCGCCATAGCCACAGCCAATGTCAGCAAACTCGACTTGCTTGGTTTCATCCGGAAAGTTTGGGAAGTACTCCTCCCAGTCCATATCGTCCGGGCATGGTGGGCTGCAAGTTCAACAGTCGCAATAACAGATATCACCACGGTCAGACGAAAACAAAGCACACTTCTGCGTAAGGCTGATTGTTCTAGCGCCACAATTTTTTAGCGTGCACAAGACAGAGATTGAGAGGAATCTATTAATCCAAAAAATTTCCAAAGACCAGTGCTGCAATCTGTATGAAAGATTTCAGATAGAGTGTTTCCTGCTGAAGTCTGTTATGAATTTTACTCTATTCAGTTCACAGTGGAGTAGGCTCACTCATGCAATGTTTCATAGAGATAGAACCATTCTGAGCTAGTCAAAAAGCTGCTCATCGTCCTAATAAAGTTCTCGCTGTTCTGCCATCCATTTTAAAACAATGCTGCACATTGAAGTGTATGGACTAAAATTCGACGAGCACGCAAAACGTGGCACTTGAACTATCTTCTTGTGTAAGGATCATGCAGTATGTTGAGGTTCATTTACACGACGTCAGGACCAAGCCGAAATTCTGCCTTGATTAGATTTTCTAGGTAGCTGTTTTGTTTCACTCCACCTAACCTGTAAGCTATAATGGGACCTATAAGAAGCCAAATTCATTCAATTCATTCAAAAACCCGAGACCAGGAACACATAAGAGTGTGGCATATGTCCATTCTTTTATACTTTTCTGTCTCTGGTTGTTTTCTTTTGTGGAGTTAATTCATCAGCTCAGCCGCATATTTTCACTTTCATTCAATGAATGTTTAGACCACGACCTACTGTGATCCTGACCTGCCCACAGAAGAGTGTGCCAGCGCGCGCCTTGTAGTACTGGCCACGGCCGCAGCGTTTCGTCACGCTATGTCTTCGCGGCAGTACACAAAGGCCTTTTAGCTTCCTAAGGTATCTGCACATCAATCAAAGAATATATATATGGATGATCTGAGAACATGCCTCGTTTCGACGATGGCACAAGAGCAGTCGGGGCTTAAAAAAGCCTTTGCGCTTCCATGCCCAAGAACCACGCTCTTTTGATCTAAACAAACATGAGTGCGATGCCAGCGATGCATCCCGCTGCTGCAGTCCATCCGCACAGACGGACGAATGAATGCTAACTGCTGTACCCTTTACAATGGACGGCAGCTTCTGCCACCCGGCCTAGGAATTAAGAGTCAAAATCACGATTCCTCCCTTCGTCTTTCTAACCCGCTTGGCTTCCCTTCTGCAAATTCATAACTATCACCAGGCGGTGTGGGATATCACCAAGATGACCTCTGGGGGATCGGGCAAAAAACAGCAAAAACGTCACCCCCTCTCCCTCTTCCCCCAGCGAACGAGTCGCCAATTTTTCTCCAGTCAAACCTAGTAGATGTTACTCGGCCAGCACAGGGCCCACCGAGAGACATGGTCAAAACATTGGGCAGGAGCCATGCGGGAGGGAGTCCCAATTTTCTTCTGTCAAGCCTGTCCCCAGCTGTGTCGGTTAGCTGCATGTCATTCAATTTTCCCTAGATGATTTCTACCAGTCTTCCAATCTTCTCTTTGTTATTAAAATGTACTTGTCATCAATCCTTTCATTCTCCTCTGCAAAACTCAGCACTCAGGCTAAATCCGTCGCCCGCCCCGGAAAGGCGGGAGCAAGCCCTGTGCAATTTGCTTCCCCTCTAGACAGGCTGGTTGTGAACTGAGCTTGGGTCACAGAAAAGCTTAAAGGGGCCATAAATGAATTTTGGGTTGGGATAAATGATTTTAGATTGGGACTTTACTAATCGCATCTCGTCTAGTGGGTCAAAAGAAAAAGGGTAGAAAGTCAAAAGTCAGCTTATCACTACACACATTTGAAAATATAGCCGACTATTTCGTAGCTCATTTCCTTCAAAAACTCTCCGCCTTTCCACTGGTACATCCACGGTACCCAAAACACACCAGCCGACCCCAGCTGACGCATTGGACACGAGAACTGTGTCACTTGGACGTATGCACTCGTCGACAATAAATCTGTCGACGAATATTTGGATTCGTGTTCGTGGCCAATGCGTGCCCTGACAGAACTTATCATCACTTACATTGGCGAGTTCTATTGTATGCTTATACAAAGCAAGGTGGAGGCTTGGAGTCATCGTACCATGCCCAAACATGTCACAACGACATGATTTCTCAATTTTCCATTCAGTTCCGAATTAAAGCTAAGGAGGAAGAAATTGAAAAATCATTTCATGACCCCTTAAAGCCCCTCAATGTGTTTGCGTTTGCCTTGCAAGTAGCGTCAAATGCGCCAGCACGAGGCCCGTGTCTTGAGCGATCATTAAAAACAAATGCTGCGCCGCACAGCACTGAAATGAGCGGCCCTTAATATTAATATTAATAATAATACTTTATTCATACTCTGGAAGGGTTGATTCAGGCGCACAGGGTCGCAAAAGGCAGTGATGGCCATACCACGGAGGCTTGCGGTCCCAACCTGGGGCCCATTGGGAAGCGAATGGTGGCGAAGCACCCGCTCGTGGCACGTGTCTTGCGCGTTTCCACAACAATGGTTGGCAGTACTCACAAGTGCGATTTTTATCAAGGGACTTTAGGAAAACTCTTTGCTGAACGCCCCGAACCGCAAAGCGAGGCGTTTCATCCGCGACAGCGTCTCCCATAGGGAGCCATTGTGGGAAGGTCAGGGTTGCAGTGGGTCGAGGTTTATACAGCGGGAAAACAGTTGGCCTTAAAGGAGCTGTGCAACGATAATCAATTGGAATGTTTTTCTCTCTACACGAGCTTACTGACACACCTGGGACTCAAGGATACTCACACGCAACGCCATTGGCCAAGAAACTCCTTTGTTGCGGTGTAATTTCAAGGACAAAAGCGGTCATTTTCATTCAATCTCTCCTTTGCAAAATTTGATGACGTAACTCGGGGATCGCAGTACACCCAAGTGACGATATTTGAATGCGGTTCATAGATTGGACCCGAGCATTGCGTGGGCACTCGACTTGGGCTCGTGACAATTGCTAGCTCGAGAAGCATTCGGGTTGTGACCCGTGTCCAATCGCTGCAACGACGACAACAGCCGAGCCATAACAATGTCTGGAACTCAGCGCGTGTCCTGCGCTTTGCCAACCCCAGCGCGTGGCTATGATCAACACTGGCGGCATATAATCGGGTCCAGATCACGTGGCCGCTTGTTCTGGCTGCGAGTTGAGGGGGTGAAGGCTGCTCGTTTTTATTCAATTTTTTTTCTGGGACTTCTATTGCGTGGGGTGAAAAACGAACGCGTGTTTCATAGGTCATTAACGTTAGGGATCCGTTTTAAGCGGTATTTGTGCACAGTACAAATATTGTTGCACAGCTCCTTTAAAATTATAATTACATGCCCACTGCAAGGTGACGATTTGACCGGCGAAGGACGGTTACAAATCGTGACGTCTGGCGTCGTGTTGAACAGATAAAACCTATTGACATCAACTTAATGTCACATAACCTTCGTATTTTAAAAATTATGAGCACCTGGATTGGTTAGTGAACGCAAATGCATTAGCACACCCTTCGAAGCGCACACTAAACGCACGCTTCTGCACACTTGCTTCAGAAAATGGGTAGATGACACGCGAGCTGTGCCCACGTGTGTTTCCACTCACTAAACTTTACTTCGCGGCGCATGTGGGTGCACCCTTTTCAAGTATGTTGCACCTCGGGGTTTAAACTCTTCAAATGAGGATTTCGGGAGGACTTACTACGTGAAACAGTGATCAGCGATGGGGTTTGAATGAGCCCGCTGCCTGTAATAACGTTTCTGAGGCAATCTGACCTCAGCCATCTTTAAATGTTTCGAACTGATGATGATGATAGTAAAAGCAGAAAACGCAGACAACCATTTTCTTGAATTAGACGGCGACTCGTGCCATCTAGCGCGTATGTAATGCAAAGCTGAAGACAACAATGGCTAAAGAGCTGGGTTTTTTTTTTTTTTTTTTGTTTTTTTTGTTTGTCGGAAACAGTCGGAAATTTAAAAAAATATATATACAGGGTGAAACAAGGAGACGCCAGGCTCTTTAAATCGACCGGAAAATTCAGTTTCTTAACCTATCGCCCTACAACTTTGTGCAGCGTTGCCCACAGATGGTGCATTTTTTTTGTAAAATTTGCGAAGAGCGAACTTACCCGAGGAAAAAGTAAAGAAAGAAAAAGGCTTAGCTCCTATGGAAACGCAGCGACGCAAGGAGGTTAGAAGTACTAGGAGGGGGCACGTTGCAATATTGGTGAAGCCTAGTCATAAAAAGTTTAAACGATTTTGTGCCCAGCGCATAGAGTTATTATAATGTACGCTAGAGGTTCAACTGGCGCTAGTGTCTACGCGACTTCCGGGAGGCAAATTGAAGCAGACAGCAACCAGTCTACTTTTGCGGTGCTCCTGTGCATTCCTATGGGAAAACGCGCGTGAATTTTGTATCTTCGCCGTAAAATAACACAAATAACTTTTCTTATTTCAGTTGTACCGGATAGTATGTACCTTTATTGATATGGTGAATGTGTAATTGCTTTAGTTACAGCATTTTTACTTACTATTGAACGATGTTAAACTTCGCTATATTTCAGGCCCAAACCTCTGTTCCATGGCAGGTATGTAAAAATGAGCGACGATTCTAAGCAAAATAACAATCGAAAGGAATGTAGAGTGCGTTCAAGGTTCGCTAGCATTCCGGTGGCACTTATATATTGCTAATATGCCCGTTCTGTCACTCACCATATGAAAATGACTCCGTCGTGCATCTTGACGATCTGTTAAAAAAAATAAAGCATGTGGGCTACGAAAGGTGTGTCTTTTCATTATTTCCTATGTCGGGCAGTTTTAATAATCAGGCACCTGTTCTCTGCTTCTCCCTATTTGCAAAGATTTGGAGCGTTCGGCTGATGATTTGAACCCAGAACAAGCATCTTCGCACATATTCACGAGCAGAAAGAGTGAAGCAGTACTTATTTGTTGCATATCTGACTACTAGTATATTACGTGGCTTTCAATTTATTTTGATCGTCTGCATGCATAAGGAGTTACTTATCCAGTGTTACTGCGCAGTTCTTGCCGTCTCTCTTGGTTTTTCACATGTAATTCGTTCGTTTTGGCACGTATATCCCCCATGCTGGAAAGCGCCGACGCCGTGTTCGCGCTAACAGTGTCCGACAGTGCACATAAATACACGCACGAAGCGGTTTTAACACCGTTTTTCATGCCACGAATTTCAAATAAAAATGCTGTAACTGACCAGTTATTTCGTCTGCGTGACTGAGAAATGTTACAATGTGCCTTGTACATACAAATTATTCGTGATATTTGCTCTCATAATCGAGCGCAGAGAGAAAATGCAGTCGCTTTTTCCCATAGAAATACATTACCGGAAGTCAATTTCTGACTGGTTGCTGTCTGCTTCAATTTGCAGCAGCACACTAGCGCCAGTTGAACCTCTAGCGTACATTATAATAACTCTATGGCCCAGCGTGACCGCGGATCTCTCTGGCGATTGGTGCGCGTGACATGTCACGTGTGAGATGGATGGTTGATTGTAGAAGGACTCCTTGCAGGCTTGCGCGCGCTCCGTCCGGTAGGTTTTATCAGATCGAAGGCTAGACTGTGGTGTATTCTAGTAGCCGATAGCAAGACGAAGGCTAGCTACGGTCACGTGATGTGGTCACGTTGGCATGGTAAGTGAGGAGAGTAAGGAGGAAAATGCGAAAGAGGCGAGGCGTCAAGGGAGCATGGCTTGTGGAGGCTACGCGGCCGACGTCATGCCCTCTCCTACCCTTCTATTCTCCATGCAGCGACGCCACCGGTCTGCAAACAACACGGCGCCGTTTCGCACGGGAGATAAGAGATGGCGCAAGCGGTCGCGACGCCACTGCAGTTCCTTGTCTGCAAAAGGGCCGACTCTCGGCGTCGTCTGCTCGTTCGTTGGCGGCAGTTGGCGTTGCGACCGCTTGCGCCATCTCTTGTCTCCCGTGCGAAACGGCGCCGTGTTGTTTGCAGACCGGTGGCGTCGCTGCGTTTCCATAGGAGCTAAGCCTTTTTTTCTTTACTTTTTCCTCAGGTAAGTTCGCTCTTTACAAATTTTACAAAAAAAAAAAAAATGCACCATCTGTGGGCAACGCTGCACAAAGTCGTAGCGCGATAGGTTAAGAAACCGAATTTTCCGGTCGATTTAATATGCCTGGCGTCTTCTTGTTTCACCCTGTATATACCGGTTGATTCAAGGAGACGGCAGACTCTATACACGTTTGCAAGTCCGGTCTCAGGGCGCCGCCATCTTCTTCAGTGGGGTGCGCTCTTGAGCGCGGCCATAATCCGATTACGACGCCTTAGCAAGGCTTCGTAATTGGATTATGACTCGTCCGAGCGCACCCCAACCAAGCAAGATGCCAGCGCCCTGAAGCCGGACTTGCAAACGTGTATAAATCGATCGCAAAATTCGGTTTCTTAGCCTATCGTGCTACGACTTTGTGCAGCGTTGCCCACAGATGGTGCATTGTTTTCGTAAAATTTGCAAAGAGCGAACTTACCTGAGAAAAAAGTAAAGAAAGAAAAAGGCTTAGCTCCTATGGAAACACAGCGACGCCACCGGTCTTCAAACAACACGGCGCCGTTTCGCACGGGTGACAAGAGATGGCGCAACGAACGCCGCCAACGAACGAGCATACGGCGCCGAGAGCCGGCGTTTTTAGCAGACGATCTTTTCGACTCAAAAGCGGCGCGCGTTCCGCGAACGGCGACAGTCGAAGAAACAAAAACAGGCGCGGTAACAACAAGCAACAGCAGTTCCTTGTCTGCTAAAAACGCCGGCTCTCAGCGTCGTCTGCTCGTTCGTTGGCGGCAGTTGGCGTCGCGACCGCTTGCGCCATCTCTTGTCTCCCGTGCAAAACGGCGCCGTGTTGTTTGAAGACCAGTGGCTTCGCTGTGTTTCCATAGGAGCTACGCCTTTTTCCTTCTTTACTTTTTTCTCAGGTAAGTTCGCTCTTTGCAGATTTTACAAAAAAAAAAAAAAAAGCACCATCTGTGGGCAACGCTGTACAAAGTCGTAGCGCGATAGGTTTAAAAACCGAATTTTGCGGTCGTTTTAAAGAGCCTGCCGTCTCCTTGAATCACCCGGTATATATATATATATATATATATATATATAGTGATTATGTTTTTTTTTTTCTTTTTATTTATGAGGGGAGTCCACCATAGAGTTATTAGTTATTTTCTTGATCTCTATGACAATTTGCTGGAACGCGCATCCCCGTTTGGTCACTGCAGCGACTGCAGCGCTGCAGCTAACGTTGGCTGCAGCAGAACACCTTAAGGGGTGTCCAAACAGGACACTCCAAAACGCACGACTCCGACAAATCGTAAAAATTGAAGCGTACGCGAACGCTTCAATTTTCACGATTCGTCGGAGTCGTGCGTTTTGTAGTGTCCTGTTTGGACACCCCTTTAGCGGAAGCGTGGCCACCGGACGGCCAACTTGCATGTACCAAAATCGACCTGCTGGGGCGTAGCAGAGGCTGGGAGGCAGCGCGCTGAAAGACAGGTTTCCTGCTCTTTCGTAGTCATTCGCCGAAGAGGTTTTTTAAAACCTTTTGTAAATGGTCATAGGTGCCTTTGAGAACACGTGGAAAGTTTTCCGAAAGCGCAGCACCGCAGAAGAAAGGGTGCAACACCTCGAACGCAAGTCTCGCCCAGTGATTTCCCTACACACCCCCTAGGAGGGGTGCACACTAGTGGTGCAAAACTATCGATGTGCTATCGATAGTGTCGATAGTTGCCAGAAATCTGACTATTGATAGTAAAAAAAACTATCGATAGTCGACTATCGAGAAACTATAAAAAAACTATCGATAGTCGACTATCGAAAAACTATGGATAGTACTAGTGATAGTCGACTATCGGAAAATTATCGTTAATAGACTATCGCAAAACTATCGTTAAACGACTATCGGAAAACTATCGATAGTCGACTATAGTAAACCTATCGATAGTACTGTCGACGGTTTAATATCGATAGTTTTGCGACACTAGTAGTTTGCGTCGCTCCCTCTTCTCTTTTTCTCGCTTTATGTTTCACGATGGACACGATGGAGGCAGGGAGGTGGTTCCATCTAACGAATAAAACCACCTCCCTGCCTCCATCGTGTCCATCCAGGACACCTCATACTTCAAGAAGCTTGCCAACGATTTCATCTGTATCACCCACTCCTCTCTGTAGAGCCTCCGGGCCTTGAGAGTATGAAAAATAAATAAATAAATAAATAAATGGGACACCAACTAGCCGAGCACTTACCATCCCAAATTTGGTTCAGCTTTCAGTGATGACGAAGACGGGAGTTTGGGTGAAGAGAGGAGGAAGGGAGGCGAGCGGCGCTGCGGCAACTGTGTTTGCAAAACTATTGATAGTACTATCGATAGTATCGATTCTCGCCAAAAATCTGACTATCAAAAGTAAAAAAAAAAAACTATCGGTAGTATTATTGATAGTTGACTATCGATAGTTTTGCGACACTATTGATAGGATCGATAGTCAATTTATCGATAGTTTGCATCACTACAGCCTCCCTTGTTTTTCAGAATGCACCCCCTTAGCTCGCAACGACTCCTCTATTCTCAATGGCCCCCCACATAACTCCCCTAAATATTTAGACCCCCCCCCCCCCCCCCCCAGGAACTTAGCCAGGATTTTGACTCGGGGGTTGGGGGGGGGGGGGGGGGGGGACCAATGACAAAATGCTGTACGAGGGGAAGGGGGGAGAGGAGGCCCCAACAAGATGGAAGATTTCGGGGGGAAAAAGT